GCATCCAGAAGAAATGTCATTCCTCCGTTGGCTATTCCTTATGTCGTCCGCGCGGAGATGGTGTTGCAAACGTGAATTCGTGAACGTTTACGCGACGCGTGGGACAGACAAGGCATGAAACGAGCCGTGCTTGGCTGCAGGTACCTATAGAGAGAGAGAGAGAGAAATAGATGAAAAGAAAAACGCAGGGAGGTTAACCTGGTAGAAGTAACCGGTCCGCCACCTTGCGTAGGTATGTCGTCCACTTTGTTTGTAGTAGTAGTAGTAGTAGTAGTAGTAGTAGTAGTAGTAGTAGTAGTAGTAGTAATAGTAGTAGTAGTAGTAGTAGTAGTAGTAAACATTTATTTAAGTTGCTAGGAAGACCAGCTAGGGAGGTTGCTAGGGAGACCAGCCTGACCCAGCTATAAGATCATGTCACATCGTTATGCGCCAACGCTTGGCTTTCGTTGAAACTCGCGTTACTTAAAGGACACACACGTTCTTAAACTCTCCATCTCAGTCCCCTCCAAGTTTACGACCCGCCACTTTGGATCAACGGCTCTGTAATGTCGTCCGGGACGTCAGTTTTCGACAGTTCTTCAGAGATGGACAGACCTAATGAGGGCAATATGCAAAACCCTTTTTTCGGTAAATATTTGGATTTAGTAGCTTCAAAATTATTCGCGCTATTCCCTGTGTTTTTCACGGCCTACAGCATGGTTATTCTGTCGCGCTCGAGGACCGTTTTATCACCGGGGCGCACTGACCAGCCACGGTGGTGTAGGGCTGATGAAAAGGTCGTGGTTTCGAATGCTGGTCGTGGTGACCACAATGCAGTGGGGCCTGCACGCTAGAGGCCCGTCTAATTAAATTTAGGTACACATAACACAACTCTAAAATTTCAGAAGCAGTCCACTACGGCGTCTCTCAAAATCATAGCGTGGCTTTGGGACGTAAACCCCTAACAATTAAATATCGGTCCGCACTTCAGGGGTGCATGTTATGCCAAAAAGGACTCCGAAAGTGTGCAGCGCAGGATCGGGGTATTTCGCCGATGAACTTAAGCTTGCACGTCTCACTCCAAACAATAATACACCAAGGAAAACTGCTCACGTTGCTAATATACTGACTGCAAGCCACTCAAGGCGTGTCAAAAAACAAACGCCCTTGCTAACATAGTCCGGGTTTAGTATAAAGCCTGAAATTTCGTTCGAGGAACCTGGGCACGTTTTGATTTTTCACGTGTCATGTCGCGCTTCCTGCGAAAAAAAAAAACTTTTATATGTGGTAACATGGGGACGCAGGCTATACTGGATCCGGTATCCACACACAAAAAGTAAGGTTAGTAAAGAATGAAAGAAAATATTAAGAGAAATAAATGACAATAAGAAGCACTACTTTATGACCTTAACAGCGCATTTCTAATTTTGGAACAAACAGAAGGTAATCGAATGGTCACGTGTTCCACATTAAAAACAGCTTGCACGACTTAGGCCTCATTAGTCTTAAAATAACACGCTTAAATATTTTTGTTCCAAGACGAGCGAGGAACTCCAGAAGAGCAAACATCTCAAGGAATTACGACATGCCGTCCAAGTTCCGGGCAAAACTTGAAACGACCTAGGTGTTAGGCTGTACCGCAAGCTTTCTTGGCTTTCGTTCCGCAACCTTCCCAGAAAACAGCGCCACGAAATTCCGAAGCTAAATATTTCTCAAGGCTGTCGGAGCTTTGTAAATATTTATACGGGACGCGCAGTTTTCCGCGTTTTGCAACGACGCGTACAATGCGGGAGCGTGTATAAAAGAAAGCGGCACCCCGGTGACGAAGGGTACAGAGTTCGCCGGCGACTTTAGAAGCACATCCGGGATGGCTTGGAAGGAAACGCACGTTGTGCCGTACAAAAAGACCGAGTGGCCACGCTCTGCCGCAGCGTGTTGGTACGCTTCCAGAAGGGCGCTTTCATTTTTTCGATGGGTCCCGTGTGCGGTTCAATGTCAGGATTCGGGCGTATACATACACTTGTTCCACGACTGAAAAGCCCCGCCACGGTGGTCTAGTGGCTAAGGTACTCGGCTGCTGACCCGCAGGTCGTGGGATCAAATCCCGGCTGTGGCGGCTGCATTTCCGATGGAGGCGGAAATGTTGTAGGTCCGTGTACTCAGATTTGGGTGCACGTTAAAGAATCCCAGGTGGTCGAAATTTCCGGAGCCCTCCACTACGGCGTCTCTCATTATCATATGGTGGTTTTGGGACGTTAAACCCCTCAAATCAATCAATCACGACTGAAAATCACAACTTCCCCGTTCCAAAGCAAGTTTCTACCTTTCCCACGTGTTTTTTGGGCTGTCCTGAATTATGTATACATGGTAACCCACGGGGCTTGCAAATGCAGCTGTGGGAGGCCTCACCAAGGAGGCCCCACAGCTCGGCTCCGACCCAGACGCGCAGTTCTGGGTAACGGGGCGGGCACAAGCAGCCGTCAAGAAGCAAATGCTTCTAGCATACTGACCGTCGTCGCCTCCCGAGACCAAGGAAACCATATTCTTTGGTTTTAGAGAAAGGTTCTGCTCTCGTACTCTGTACGCATATCGTACAAAATGTATCTCGCACAAAAAAAAAAAAAATCCACTCGCTTCGATGGCACATTGCAAATGCGGCATGCTGTCATGCCATATATGCTCCTTATACAATACGAGGTCGCCCGTTTGAACGCCTGCTCCAGAGGAAGCTTTACGATTGAATAACAGCGCCGAACCACTCGTGCACTCATTATTAGACGAGTATAGGGCGCCTCATGTGGCCAACCTTAATACAGGTTTACACCTCAGGGATCCTTTAGCAGCTATTGTTATATATATATATATATATATATATATATATATATATATATATATATATATATATATATATATATATATATAGAGAGAGAGAGAGAGAGAGAGAGAGAGAGAGAGAAAAGAGTTGTCTACGGGTCGTTTGTTTATTTGTTTATTGCTTCTTGCGTTTACTATGCAGATAAGCAGACCGATATGAGCCGTGTGCTAGTACCAAAGCTAATTAATTCTCAGGAAGACAGCCAAAACGAGGGCAGGCATCTGACAGCACGGTGGCATTAGCGAATTGGAGCGGGTACACGAGGAATAGTACCCTTGCATCGTACCCAGTACCCTTTCATCGCAGGGACGAGCGGGGATTACGCAGATAGACGGGATTTGAACCGAACAAGCTAGACATGCGGTCCGCGCAGCTCCTCTAGTTTGACTAAGCCTAGCCGACGCTCGCTATAAATTCTGACCTACGCTCAGAGTCAGTTTCGGTCGGCCAGCCCCCGGCCGCTGTGTATTTCACTCGGCACTCGTGTATAATCCACGAACGGAACCGCGAGAGCTCGGGCAGCCGCCCGCCTCCTGCCAGGCTCCGCGGAATCTCAACGCGACGCGGGGACAGGCGCCGACGTGCGTCACAGCAGACCTTCGTACCACCTCCCCCCCTCCCTTGCCGCCAGACTCAGGTCCGCAGCGGTCTCTGCAAGCGCCCAGCCCGCAACGCGCAACACAGCGCCCGGTTTATTTTCGTGCTAAGAGCCCCAAAACAAGAAGGTGGGGCGGTCCCTCGCACGCTCGCGTTTCGGGAAACCATACAAGGGCGCCGCGGGACCCGTCGCCCTCACAGTGAGCTCGCGTCGACTTTTCCTGCCGACTTGCACGAGCGCAGTCAAATCATGTCGCATTGACGGATCATTGATGTAGCCGTCGTATACAGGCAGTCTCGCCTGTGTACTGCACAGCCGTCGACATTTGAAGACCGCGAAGCTTTCTGTACACCTCCTCTGCCAGTGGCTTTGAGCTGCATAATTTGTTTTGGCACCCTCGAGAACGGCCGCTGGGCTCTCTTAAAATGCAAATATTACGTTTCGTACTTTTCTCATACACGCACATGCGAAAAACGAACGAGGGAGTTTGACGAAATGTTACAACTCGCGGGCAGACACTTTAGTCACAGTTTAAAAAGAGATACGAGCATGCTGGCTATGCCATGTTGTAATCTTCAGCATGCACGGAGCTGAAGATTGTCCCAGTGTCGTTCGGTATGCTGAGGCCAAGAACGAAAATCAAGGACTATCGTTGCTGCCACGGCCGTTTGTAATCGTGAGATCATGCTCACTTATAGCTGATGATGCCTTGAATACCGTCATGTTAACCATTCAAGGCCTTCGCACCTTACTGCTAGGGTAGCATCGAATGCGTCATCAAATACACACAAAGAATAGATTTTTTAAAAGTAGGTTGTTCCTGCTAACTCTAAGGACAAATTATACGACTCGAATCGGCAAAGCCCACACGGATCCCTCTGATTCCAAACTTCGAGTTGGCCTTCAGAGAACGTACGCAATCGCGATTAGGCAAAGATGTATTCCACGGCTGCACATGCAGATGGTTCTGTACCATCCTACTGAACCAAAGAGTTCAAGACGACACCCCGCGGCGTATGCTCAGCGGCGCGAGAAATGTGCGCCCACCGGAGCAAATTTCCCATGCTTGCTAGGCGCTAGAAAGAATTTCGAGGCGCCCGAGGTGGTTGAACCTGGAGCCTTCATATCCTGACAACCGTGGAAGGGTGGAGGCGAGGGAGTGGCCACACTACACGTTCAGGCGGCTTCTCTAGCTGTATCTTGCAAACTGTGCTACAGGGTCCGTGTGCACAGAGAAAAGCACGTCTTACTGGCCACGGTCCAGGCTTGCGTGCACATCTCTAGCGCGCGGTGCACCTCAGCTTCACTGTGGGCTCGAGGTGGCAGCCGGGGGAGAGGAGGCCGAGGGGCAAGGGACTGGCCGGGGGTGGGGGTGCCTGTGGGCGCCAAAAGCGGAGGCCGCGGGGGCGTCCAGAAATAGAGAGGGGCAAGAAGCCACCTCGGTCCGGCTCCGGTGTCTTCCTCCGCAAGGGCGCGCCAAGGGCGGTGCGTGCGGCACGACGAGTGGAATCCCTGATCGGTTCTCTTCCCTTGTGCTGCCTTGCGCAGGCCGTCACCGAGCAGATCCACCAGAAGACCGTGGTCGACCGCCGCTTCCGCAGTGCCCCGCCGCCACAAGGAAAGTACCGACCGGTCCAGCTCTTTGACATCCCCTTGCAGCAGACCGCTGGGGGACAGCTCACCGGTGCGTGGCCCACTTGCATGGATTACTGTCGCAGCCACGCGTCCAGGGCATGGTGCCACTTCCTCTGGCGAGGCTTAACCCTAGCTGCTCTAGATTACTCCTTAACCCTAGCTGCTCTAGATTACTCGTGACCATGACCTCCATGGGATCCTTCCTCCCGGAGGTGTCTTATTATGTCATGGATGAGCAGCTGGTCTTTAGATAGATTGGTAGTGAACCAAGTGCACCCGCCAAGAAGCGTCTCTTGGATGACTGCATTGTTTTTGCAATGCAGTGTCACTTTTGCAAGGTGACGCTTTGGTGATTGACGGGCACGTCCCTGGACGCGTGGCAGCTTCGATATCCCGTGTTGGAAGCTTATTCTGTTCCTTCCCGACGCGCCAACGCAGCCGAGGTGAAGATGCCGTCGGGACGGGTGGACAAGCCTGTGATCATCGACAACCAGAACGGCACGGTCAGCATCCAGTACGAGCCACGCGAAGAAGGCCTACATGAGCTGCACATCAAGTACAACCACGAGCATGTGCAGGGTATGTGTGCCTATAGGTCGTGACACTTGTGTGGTGTGTTCACGCGTCGGCCAAACGGATTAGCGTCACGACATTACGGTGCGGCGCGGGCCGCTTCGCAGGCAGCCCTTTCAAGTTCCACGTGGACACCATCCAGAGTGGCTACGTGACTGCCTACGGACCAGGCCTGACGCATGGTGTGGCCGGTGAACCCAGCAACTTCACCATCAGCACGAAGGACGCCGGCAAAGGTAATACGACTCGAGCATGACTGAATACGTGTTTCTACTGTGTTTTTCTAAACAGCTTGGTTAGTCACATTGGGCTGCTTGGTGTGTTTGCTTGCTTTGACGATGTCAACGTTAGGTGTCGAGAGAATCTAGGAGTAGAAATAACCTACCACGCGGAAACCCTTGATGTCGAATGCCACTAAAACCCGTCTTGTGGAGTGCAGCAGATGAACCAGGTGTGTTTGGAGTTGTAAAAGCGGGAAGCTGAAAGGTTGTTATAAATAGTGCGCAGTTTGCCAGGACAAGATGTTCAAGGGCAAGCACTGTTGTAGGTCTCGCACAGGCGCATATTCTCGAGGAAAAGTGCAACTGCGCAGTCCAATAAAGACCTCAACTATTGGGATAATATTTGCCATACTATGACAGGGTATAGAGGGGGACCTAGATAAGTCTGTTAAAAGGCCTTGACATGTTACCTTAAGGATACCGTGGATAGCTGATCTCGATTAGTTACCACTCGGAATCCTGTGCCCAAGAACAGGCTAAGACTATATGCGGCACGTGAGAGAATGTGGAGGAGGGAAAGCCTTTTATCACAATCACATTAAAATGGGACTCTACTTTCAACAGTCATTGTGGTGTATTCACACGGCACGGAGCTAACTTTGCCGCTAAACGTGACCCCGACTTTCGCACTGGGATCTGAGGCGTGGTCTCCCAATGCTGAGGAGTAGCAATTTTCAAGCACCGCAGGCTGCGATTTCGGGGTCTGTCAGGACAACTGCGTAAAAATGAAGAAAAGAGAGACAGCATCGCTCATGCACAAAGCCGTCACATTTATTTATATATTCATGTATCCTAAAGGCCCGAGGGCATTACATAGGGGGGGGGGGGGGGGGTAGTAGCATACATAAAACTAGCATTAACAAAAAATTTGGAAAATATAACGTCGTATCAATAATAAAAATAAAAATCAGTTAAAAGTAATAAGGACAAACTACACTAAATATGAAACGTATAACGCAAGAACAAACAACGCTGGATCTCCTTAAAAGTAGTGAAGTGATCGAGTTATACAGCGGGCTACATAGAGCACTACTAAAGCACACGCACATCGGAGGCACCGCTTTAGTTTGTGAGTGAATTCTTCGTGGTTCTTTATTAAAATATCGTTTGGCAGCTGGAGTCTCGTGATTTACAGCAACAATTAATGGTGAACTTTAAAAAAACGGGTTTCCTCGGGCAAATAAAGGTATTAATTTGAATTCGTGGTTCAGGCGAGCGAATATTCGCTGAGCAGGTTTAAGAAGTGCAGACAGTCGCGAATCGTTATGATGGAGAGAGTGAAAGAGGGACAGAAGTGATAATACTCTGTGGGACTGCAAAGACGGTAATTTCAGAGACATTTTTAAATTTTATTTATGCTGAAAGTCGGAGAATAATAAGTATCCAAGTGCACCTCATTGGGGCCCAAGGTCACTGTGTCGTTTTTTTTTCTGTCTGCATTAAACGCTATTGCACTTTTTTTTTTCAAGTCTGACGCCGCTTCTTGTACCAATACAAAAGTTGTAACTGAAAATAATTTAGCTTTAAAGGCTTTCGATGATACCTTCCAGCTCATCGATGGCTTTTCTACACTGTAATGCAGAAGTCAACTCTAGAGGGGGGCCGTGGAATACATTTTAATGTGCAGAGTCTCTGTTCACCACACGCACTTGAATCAAGGTACATGACGAAGTGCGTTCCGACTACACTGCGAACAGCGCAAGAGGGACAACGTACAGAAAGAAAACAGAAACGAACGCCGAACTTATGAACTGAAGTTTATTCCGAAACGAAGCAGAATGCAAATAACAACGACACGTGACCAAAACATTGCAGATCAACTCGGAATTAACGCGTGGGATAATTGAAGCAGCAGAAATTGGGAGTCTTCGCAATACCTGCATGAGCATCCCGTACATCGCCTTGACCGAAAAAGAAGTGTTTGTCCCACGTGCATCACCGCCGAAAATGGCATAGGCTGAATTTTCTTTTTCGGTTTTTTGTAAATATTGATTTGCTATATTATGTTCACGTGTGGTTTTTCTTTATATCATGCTTCGTTTCGTAAATAAACTTCAGTTTCAAGTTCAGCGCTCGTCTGTACTTAATTCCTATCCATTGCCCCTTGTTGCGCTGTTGTCAGACATGACGGACCACTACCTCGGCCAAAGATTTGCTATCCGACGTCGTGTGCATACGACACTCCATGGCAATGATGAAAGCTGCGATTGTACACTCAGCAGCATGTCAGGCATCTTTTCAACTGTCGGTCGGCATTTCTTGGAAGTCAACTGTGAAAAAGGCACGCGTTACGTAAACCGACCGATGGTATTCGATTCGCACACGGAGAGAAATGGTTCGCCATAATTAATACGCGTAAGCCCTTAATTTTCTGTCGTAACTGATGCTGCAATGAGGGCTTGTTTATGCGGCAGCTTGGAATGCACAACTCTTGGTTACGTTCCGATGCGACTGTTCTCGATATCGACACAAAACAAAACTACGTGCGTGATGTTTTAGTGAGTCGGGACTGTTCGTCTTGTTCCCACGTTTCTTCCATAAACGCATGAACGGGATTCTTATGCACTGTTTAGCGCATAGAAGCGAGAAATGTGCGAGAATAACTCGTGAACCTAGAGGCACATTGCCATGTGTACGTGTTCATGCGTGTTTTTCTTCTATCTTTTATTTATACGCGAGCATCCCAAGTATGGACGCTCAGTGATCCAACAGCGCTTGCTATGCGCTCTTCCATTAGTAAACTGCCCCGGCCATCAGTTACGCCTGAGCAGCGCGGCAGTACACAAAGTTCCAATCCACCCACGCGTGTATACGGACGTGTACGATTCGTGTATTTTCTCAGTCACGCAGCCGAACGAGCCGCTGCTGTACCACGGACACAGTGCAAACATGAGCGAGCTCCGGACCGCAGCAAAGCTAACATCCGGTACCGAACTGAAAAAAAGCATGAGTAGAAGACAAGTCTCGGGAACGCACCCCCAATCCCCTCTCGTTCTCGGCAGGGGCAAGGTAGCTGGCGCTCGCTTCAAGAGATGTCTGGCAAAACAACGCCCCGATGTTCTAACCCTGGTTGAAAACAAAAACACGGCGCGACGGGCGCCGAATCGAGAGCGCGGAGAGAACGAACTGCCTATGAGAAATACTTCGGGGGTTCCTTCTTTCCAGTTGGGCGGCTGGCGCTGCTACAACTCGTGCCTGCGTCAAAGCATCGGCGGCTCTCTCCTCGAAGCCGACTGTGCGCTTCGCATTTGGCAACCAAGTCTTCCCAGCTGCTGCGCTCTCGTTATCAACAAACCTCTCCCGACCTTCGTCGGATCGCCGTCTATTAGAAACAAGAGGGTTTCTCCACCTCATCCTTCATTCTGGGCAACCATCCCGCGCTTTGAGAGAGAAGGATACACGCGTGCCGAAAGGACGTGACCTGGCGCCCTCTCACGAGATCGCGCCGTAAAAGAAAGCGGCTTGTACTATTGACGTGTCTCGTCAGACTAACGTACGCGTCTCGTAAACCTTTCCATAAATAAAATCCCATGGCCGTGCCAGTGCGTTGGCTGGGGAAAATGTATACCCGCCTGTTGACAGGTTTTATACACCCGCGAGGACAAGGAACTCGTTTATAACACGGCGGGCTGGTGGCACCACTTTCGTTTTAACTCGTACATCCGGCGTGTGTTCCCGACATCGCCTTTACGTCACAGTGGCGCTAATGGCGGTATCGTTCATGGGAGTCCTGGAAGATACATTCGGTACGCTGACAATCTAATAAAGATAAATGCGAGGGATTCGGCTTTCGCAAAAGCATTGGCTCCTGATTTTCTTTCTGCGTATTTGAATTACACCGGTGTCACACGCATTAGCGTAAATCATGAGGCGGTGTTGCCTCTATTTTGGCTCAGGATGGGAGGACACCCCTTGCAAGTGTCCCCTCTTGAAATATAGGTTTAGAAAATTATATCTCTGAATTACTTGAGAGTCAAGTACAGTGCATAAAACTTTTGTAGTGTACCTGTGGGCTTTTAGTGTGTACCTGTGTTCAATACCGCTCAGCTGTGCGAAACTATAAGAGTCGCAGAAGCCGCTCAAACGGTTCAAAGGAAACTTAATAGAACAATTCGATTGCGCGAGCTGAAACCCAACGGGGTTTTTTGTTTCAATATAATTTCAAATCATGATTTATTTCTCATGTAAATAAAAACCCAACCCATGCGTATAAAAAAACAAAATGGCCGTCATGGTCGGACCTGTGCCCCCCCCCCCCCCCCCCCGGTCATGTTTCTGTATTTACGCTACGAGTCACACGCTCACCTTTGATTGCGATCGGGCCTGGCGCCGATCGAATTTCACGATCGAGGTTGGCTCCTTTACGCAAACTGTAAAATAAAGCCAGAGCTGATTAAGCTCGATCGCGATAAGTAGGGCACCGTGTGACATGCGAAAGTTTCAGAGGCCTTTACAGTGTAGTATATGACTGCACGTAGATGTCCGACGCTTTATAGACCTTCAGAACGTTGCTCAGTGTCCCGTAGAACACCGTATAGTGAATAACCGGGCCACTTGGTATACATTCACCGAAATCGATTTATTGTTCCGCTTTAGTGTCCCTTTGAGTCAGCGATGAGCATTATTCATTGTATATTCTGCTTATATGTGACGTGCAAGCCGTAATATAACCAGGAAAATATAAACACCAATTTCATGAGCGCATACTCAATATACGCGAACAAAATATACGCATATTTATATAAAGCTTACAACATATATGCTCATACGAGCACATATGAATATAGTTTATAATCTTCTGTTCCCTTTGTATACAAGCTTTGCGGTGAATGTCTACCGAACGCATGAACCAATGGCGTTTCGCACACATCCTCGGAAAGTGCTCGCTGCCTGCATCGCCTTACATTAGCTGACGAATGTCCCATGTCAACAGCATCTTTTCGGATGCAGCAGTATCTGCCCATAATGTATCACCAACTAGCCCTACTTTCAGTCACGCTGCAGCAGTATAGTTAATTTATGACGTTAACGATCAAAGCTGTCGTACTGAAGAAATTGTGCTTCTCCGATGGCCGCAGGTGGCCTGAACGTGGCCGTCGAGGGTCCATCCAAGGCAGAGATCAGCGTGCACGACAACAAGGACGGCACGGTGGCCGTGTCGTACCTGCCCGCTGCACCCGGAGAGTACAAGATTTCCATAAGTTCGCCGACAAGCCCATCAAGGGAAGCCCCTTCACCGCCAAGATCACAGGCAAGTGCCGCTTTTTTAACCTATCGCTGCCAATGCATAGATTCTGCACATTAGATTAGATTGATCTGAGAATGTTCAACCGTTTACAAGGCAGTTTTGTAATAAGTTCTATAACTCGCAACAGGAAGTGGAAAATCGGTATTGTTGCATAACTGTTGTATGAACCAAATTGCAAGAATTCACGCATAAGTGGGAACACAAAGAGCGCCGACTTACAACCTCGGGCGTCTTGTTTTGTCCGTCTCGTGTTATTGTCCTATGTAGGCCTTCAATATATCTGGGGCTTTAATTACACAGGTTATATTCTGGAGTCTTACGCATCGGAAAAAAAAGGAATAATCGTATTTTAAAACACGCAGTGCAAGTAATACACGATATCGATTTTGAGCCTTCTCTGCTTATAGGATCTTTGGCATGCGCGAAATTCGAACCATGAACGTTGTTGCATTTCGCCCCCGTCAAAACGCCGCCGCTCTGGTCGGAAATTAACGCCACGCTTCTTAATATAATAATTTGATGTTTTACGTCTCAATACCCCGACATGTTCACTGAGGGACGTAGAGAACTCCAGAAATTTCGACACCGCGGGTTCTTTAACGTGCACCTAAGAACGCAGGCGTCTATAGGGAAGCAGTTCCCCCTGCGAACTGCTCTTCGTGACATTCGTGTCGGCATTCGACCACCACAGCAAGTCCACGTCCTGAGCCACGTCCTAAGGGCCCATAACTGACCACCCTTGTCATCCCGTCATGTCGACTGCGTGAACTTCACAAACGCTTTTCTGGCACCTCATTGCAGGAGAGGGCCGCAAGCGCAACCAGATCTCCGTGGGCCACTCCAGTGAGGTGTCGCTCAAGGTCCAGGAGAAGGACGTCAAGAACCTCAGCGCCAGCATCGTCGCGCCTTCGGGCCTGGAGGAGCCGTGCTTCCTGAAGAAGCTTCCCAACGGACACCTGGGCATCTCGTTCACGCCCCGCGAGGTCGGAGAGCACCTGATCAACGTCAAGCGCACCGGATCCCACATCACGGGCAGCCCCTTCAAGATCAACGTGCTCGAACGCGAGATCGGCGACGCCGCCAAGGTCAAGGTTCAGGGCAAGGCTCTCACAGAGGGCACCACCCAAGTCCGCAACGAGTTCACCATCGACACACGAGAGGCCGGTTAGTTTGCCGAGATCGTGCACGTTTAGTCTTGTTCACTGCAAGTGACGTCGCGATTACTACTGTAGCAGTCAGTATCTTAATATTTACCGAACTTTATTATTAGCCGTGATAACGTAGCCGAGTAGCTCAGTTGATGAGAAGAAAAGTTATACGACAAACAATTATGTGAACTAAATAAATGAAGCTTACTTGACTCCGCCATTTAATCCTACGAGTATCCCGTGACCTAATAAAGTTTAAAATAATTTAGATAAATATAAATGATCTTAAATTAATTTCAAAGAGCATCTAAACCACCTCCCATATGTCCTAACTTTCTAGGTAAGCATTCGCACAGAGTCACTATCAACAGTGCCAAATGCGGCAGCGCTACGTGCCACAGGCGTGTGGCAGCTTGGGCTAGTTGGTATGGCATGACGATAGTTACAGCGCGAGAACAAAACGACCACACGTTTTGTTCTCGCGCTATAACTATCGTCGTGCCACAGGCGTTGACGCGGTGCGTAGGAAAATAAAGGATACCACGCTCCTCTTCGGTCCATTCGGAATCGTTAGCACTGGATCGTGACGCCACCAGAAGAATCTGTTCACGTCAGCAGCAGAAAAGAACCTGTTTTTTTACCTGCGGCTGCGCGCGCTCCCTGTTTATCGTTCTTTCATAGCTATGAGAAAGACACGGCCGCGAAAAGAGATGAGCTAGAGAACCGAGCGTAGCGAGGAGCGAAATGAGCTATGGCCATATTAGATCATGAAACGTTTGTCGTCAGGCAAGTGTAACAGCGCTAGCACTGTTACACTTGCCTGTCGCGGAAACATTTCGAAAAATTCTCGCGGCCACGTGTTGATAATAGAGTCGGGCACAGCAGCTTCACCACAACTAAATTTTGACTTCTGGGTGTTTCAGACGCCGTTTAAGGATACATTCCATCCTCCTACACTATACCGAGATTAATTCGTTTCTGTTTCATTCGTCAATACGAGCGATTCACATTTTTCACGTTTCTCGAGAAATGATGAGTAAATCCACTGAGCATACGAGAACAAAGCTTCGAAGAACTTGCCTGAATGACGTTTCGCAGGCTACGGTGGTCTGAGCTTGTCCGTGGAGGGTCCCAGCAAGGCCGACATCCAATGCAAGGACAACGAGGACGGCACGCTCAAAGTGAGCTACCTGCCCACCGAGCCCGGATACTACATCATCAACCTCAAGTTCGCCGACCACCACGTCACGGGCTCGCCCTTCACCGTCAAGGTCACGGGCAAGGGCTCCAACATCCAGCGTGAGAACATCAAGAAGCAACGTGAGGCAGCGCCCATTGCCGAAGTGGGCTCCAAATGCACCTTCACCTACAAGATGCCTGGTGAGACATTCCAGAAAGCTTGTAACTGCACTTCATGGTAAATTCTTACGAAGGAACGCGAACTCGTTGACAGCAGTGCCACTCTGTCATGTGCTGCATAATGCCACGTGACGTCTGCAGTTGGTCACTGCAGATGCGCTTCTTTTATCACTTCGTGCACCAGTTCCTTTCGCTGTGCTCGTATAACTATGCGGCCAGTGAGTGGAGTTTAGCGATGCTATCCCTTCACTTCACGAACTGATAAGAAACGTGATACGTTGCACGCCTTGTTTCAAGTGAGCGCGCAGCATCAAGCGGCCGTATTCGGACCAACAACCGCGCCTATCGGACGTCGCCGCCGATATAAAGTGGTTGACTTTAGAGACAGCAGTCATCGGGTTTCTGCCACACTAGTCGGAAGACTGCGTGGACAAATGTCGGTTACGTGAAGTTAAAACACCTAAAATAATCTTTCTTACGGCGAAGTTGTATCATTCTACCATCTGTCGTCGCCGTAGTAGTAGTAGTAGTAGTAGTAGTAGTAGTAGTAGTAGTAGTAGTAGTAGTAGTAGTAGTAGTAGTAGTAGTAGTACACCAGCAGTAGTCACGCAGGTCACGTTACCAGGGGGAGAAAGAATAAATAAACAGACCTGCTGATGCTCGAAATGATGAAGGCGATGCTTCCAATGTTTCGATTTTTTAATAAGCAAAACTGAATGGTGATATTGGTGTCCATAAGTGATTACGATGATGATCCTCGTGGAAACTTTGCCGAAACATATGAGCAAAATGTAGTAGACGAAAGGGGCGACAGATTCACTTGAATATAGTTTTCACGGCATTCAGCTGGCAACTTTCTTAATTTTTTTAACGACATCAAGCCCAACATAAGTTATTGTGGTGAGGTCCACAGATGACGCGGAAGTCGCAGGTGACTGCTGCTTGGTCAACGGTCCTTGTGTCGTCGTCCCCGATTCACAGTTGTGCGATGACGCCGATGAGAAGTGTTTTGCATTAGTCGCATCGTGAGTCTTGCTTGTCACAGGCACCAGCGCGTTCGACATGACGGCTCGCGTGACGTCCCCGTCGGGTTCTTCGGAGGACGCCGAGATCGCCGACCTGGACGACTGCGCGTACGCGGTGCACTTCGTGCCCAAGGAGGCTGGCGTGCACACGGTCAGCGTGCGCAACAAGGACATCCACATCCCCGGATCGCCGTTCCAGTTCACCGTGGGTCCGTTCCGTGACCACGGGGCCCACAGGGTACACGCCGGAGGACCCGGTCTCGAGAGGGGCATCGCCGGAGAATCATGTAAGCTGTCCCCCTTCGTACCCACCGAGAGCCTCTTCTCTGTTTCGCAGAGGTCATTTACCACAAAGCCGAGAAGTGTATACAACACTCACAGGCTGAAACGCGGAAAGTTCCCGGTTAAGAAATGCACAGTACAGTCTCAATGGAATAAGATTAGCACAAGTGAACGGTGGCTGGGGCCGCAAAGTTAGTGACGTCAACTCGCGCTTATTGTGGATTAAATAAAGTTGTTTCATTCACTCACTCACCCGCGGCGCTGTTCACGAATCACGAGCACGCCGATAAAGATTGCCAAGGACATCCCATTTTCAAAAGCAGAGGTGCGTAGCCGGCGAAAAGCAGATCCACCTTGCTTATCGGCGGATGTGGCTATGCACACATGATTTTTTCTCTCTTTCTGCTGAAATTGAGAGTGACCGTATCGATTATCGCGTTGCCTAGCAAAAGGTACTTGTTCGAGTGCTATCCGCCTGCCACCCCTGCTTTGGAAAATGGAATGTGCTTGGCAATCTCGAAATCATTGCGCTGGGGAAAAAAGGCAGCATGGCGTGTCGCAGTCTTGCCGGTCTTGCCGTTCCGGCAACCTGTCACTTGTGGTAACCTTTTTCCGTTAAGATTGAATACCTTCATTCACAGCGTCTACGGTTCGCGTCATGTCGGCGTACTTTTTTTGGCCAAACGCTTACATAGAGTCATCATTGCTTTTAGCGGCATATTTACAGCAACATGACCCGGTTATCACGAGCGATTGCTCACCGCAGTCGTTATACTAAATAAAACGATGTTTGGTTTCAGTTTGTGAGTACTGCACCCTATTTAATTGACGCAACTGACGTTAATTCCCTCCAGAAAATTTCTGACACAACCAGTTCACTGACGAAATGATTTCGCAACAACGGGTTCATTCAAGAGGAAAACAATTTCTGCGTTTAAATGAAACAACAATTAAAAAAAAAACGTTTGTCACGGGGAAGTTGGACGAATAGACATAGGCCCTAATCTTAATCAACGAAAAACTTGTCTTATTCACAAGGCCGGCAGTGAGTCGCCCAGTGAAGAGAAACTTTACGCCAGAGCGTTCGTTGTGAAAAGTCTGGTAGAGTAAAATTTCTGGCGTTCAACCAGAAGCTTTCCTGAATTATATTTACGAAACATGAACCGTTTAATAAGTGAAGTCTTTACCAGTCACGGTCGGTTCTGCCCCGCAGGTGAGTTCAACGTATGGACGCGCGAAGCGGGCGCCGGCAGCCTGTCCATTTCGGTTGAGGGACCGTCCAAGGCCAAGATCGACTTCAAGGACAGGAAGGACGGCTCCTGCTACGTCTCCTACGTCGTCAAGGACCATGGTATGCGACCGTTTACTTTGCGCGAATAAATAGGGACAAACAGGAGCGGGAAATAGGGAGGTTAATCAGACGAACATCCTGTTTGCCATTTCTGAGCTGGAGAAAGGGGACACGTACCGGTAGTCCAGAACGGGTAAATATAGAGGAGACAAAGAGAACTAGTTGCGTTCACACACGAAGATGGAAGAAAAAAAGAGCAACAAGAGAGAAGGCAGGGAGGTTACCAAGGCACATGCCCGGTTTGTTGCCCTACGCTGGGGGAATGGGAAATGAGAGTCTAAAGATGAGAGAGAGGAAAGAGAAGAGAAAGAGACAAAACAATTGTCAGTCAATGGGCCGGCGCGTATGCAGCGGTGGCACTACACAAAAGTTAAAGGCGTTCACATAGGCCCGTAGTCCTCATAAAGTGCAAGAGGGCTTTGAGTGCCTTTTGGGCAGACGAAAGACGAGGACGGTACTCCAGCAGTATCTGCACAAAGTGGCCGATCATCCAATTGTCAAGGCGCGTCGGAAAGTTTTTGTCTCTCAGAGGCAAATCGAGGGCAACGGCATAGCAGATGGTCGATGTCTTCATCGGTGCCGCAGTCCTCGCATTCCGCACTGTTGGTCACTCCGATGAGAGTTGTATGTGCTTTTGTGAAGGCAACCCTCAACTAACGCCGACAGAGGAGCGAAGCTTCACGTCGACGAACTCCGGATGGAGGTCGAAGTTCCAGATGAGGGTTTATGGCGCACTTTAAAATCTATACGCTGTCCCAGAGATGACGGGAGTTGAGGTTATTTCAGGGCGGTTTCCGCCACACTCCGAGTCATCGAAAGTTAAGGAAACCTATATGGTTTAGTAAACATCAATATTCTATAACACACTTCTTTTTCAGTACAACGCACGCGTGATCTGAGCACTACGACGCGAAATGTGCGCAGGCGAGTACCGCGTGGGCATCAAGTTCAACGACCAGCACATCCCCGACAGCCCGTTCAAGGTGTACGTGATGCCTCAGGCGGGCGACACCTGCAAGATCGAACTGGGCAGCGTCCCCGAGCACATCCAGGTCAACAAGCCCGTGGCCTTCACCATCTCCATGAATGGGGCCAAAGGTAACCTCGACGGAAAGGTCGTCACACCCAGCGGCCACGAGGACGATTGCTTCGTAGCGCCACTGGACGACGGTGAGTTGTTAAAGGGACATCTTGGCGGCAGAGGGAGTATCCTCAGACGATCACTTGCGCGAGACACGCGTTGAAGTATTCTGCCGACCAAGGGTTACTAAATATAGGCTCTCTTAGGAGAGTTACTGCATAAGCTCCCTTTAAGGAGTTAAAGTACTGGATTCCCTGAAGGAGTTATATTTCAGGCTCCCTTGAGGGGAGCATATACAGGGTGATTCCACGAGAGATCGACACGGGTCCAAAAGTTGATATTTTAGATTTCATTGAGTTTTTTATATTTCGTGCACCTCTCACCAGGTAGCCCGAAAGTCAACTTCGTTTTATGATTAACGGCATAACTTACGAAAAAAAAATATCGAACTTCACGAACACGGAGGCACCAATTTCGTCACCTGTCATTTTCAAAAATTGCAGATGCTATAAAAAGACAAATATTTTTGTTTCGAGGAAGATATTTTTTACCTAAAATGCATGTCTAATGAAGAATGAATTCATATGGTTTCAAGTTTGTAAACCTTAAGAAAATAGCTTTTAAAAATGTCTAATTTTGCGACAGTTTAAAATAAGTTACGTATTCCCCATTTTTTCTCTCCGAAAGTAATGCAAGCAGCGTTTTCAAACTTGGCACGTTTTAAGGATATAGTGTGTTCATTAGGTACATAAATTATTGCTGCCGTAGGGCAAATGTAAATTTTTATATATTGCCTCAAAATTCTCATATTGGCAAAAGTGTATTCCACTAAAATTTGAATAATAAAAAAACCATCTTCTATTTTTATTAAAATCTCTTAAGTAGACAACCGAAAGCCATCATACAGTAATATAGAAAAACATGTTGCATTATTTTGTTCTTAGCGACAATATTCGTGGTACAAATCAGAGCTTTTCGAGAATGAGCTGATTGGTTGAGAAATCTGGAAATCGGAACGTAAAAGCGGCAATAAGCTTCAAACGCGAGTAAACGTGACCGCATTTGGTGAAGAAAGGCTATTCTAGCAGATAGGAGTAACTAATTTGAACACGGTATTCTACAGTATCTTAATTCACTCTTATACGTAGAGCACTGAGACTTCTAATATGTGGTGCCTTTCCATTACTGATACACAGATGGAGCTGCTGTGATGGCCATGTGTTTGAAACACGTTGGGTCAGAGAATTGAATGTTGAATGAGTTCATAAACGATTCATAACAAATTTTTATCATTTGGGGCACGAAGACTGCTGCATTAGACTGAAGAACACGCTTTAGGGCAAGTTGTCATCTGTCGTCTGCTCTACAGATGAATTGCTGTGCGCCGCATCTCAGAGGCAATGCTTTAGATTATAAGGTTTAAAGTAGGGACAAAGATTACGCCTCCCGTAAGTTTATCGACAAAAACATTGTGAATTCATTTTACCGTACTATACTTCAGTTTTGCATTCACACTGTGGATACTTGCGCACAAATATCCACAGTGTGAATGCAAAACTCAAGTATAGTACGTTAAAATGAATTTCACAATGTTTTTGTCGATAAAATTACGGGAGGCGTAATCTTTGTCCCTACTTTGAATCATACGATATAAAGCATTGCCTCCGAGATGCGGCGCACAGCAATTCATTTGTAGAGCAGACGACGGATGAAGACTTGCCCTAAAGCGTGTTCTTCAGTCTAATACAGCAGTCTTCGTGCCCCAAATGATAAAAATTTGTTATGAATCGTTTATGAACTCATTCAACATTCAATTCTCTTACCCAACGTGTTGCAAACACATGGCCATCACAGCAGCTCTATCTGTGTGTCAGTAATGGAAAGGCACCACATATTAGAAGTCTCAGTGCTCTACGTATAAGAGTGAATTCAGATACTGTAGAATATGGTGTTCAAAATAGTTACTCCTATCTGCTAGAAAAGCCTTTCTTCACCAAATGCGGTCACGTTTACTCGCGTTTGAAGCTTATTGCCGCTTTTCCGTTCCGATTTTTAGATTTCTCAACTAATCAGCTCATTCTCGAAAAGCTCTGATTTGTACCACGAATATTGTCGCTAAGAAGAAAATAATTCAACATGTTTTTCTATATTACTGTATGATGGCCTTCGGTTGTCTATTTAAGAGATTTTAAGAAAAATCGAAGATGGTTTTTTTTATTATTCAAATTTTAGTGGAGTACACTTTTGCCAATATGAGAATTTTCAGGCAATATATAAAAAATTTACATTTGCCCTACGGCAGCAATAATTTATGTACCTAATGAACACACTATATCCTTAAAACGTGCCAAGTTTGAAAACGCTGCTTCCATTACTTTCGGAGAAAAAAAATGGGGAATACGTAACTTATTTTAAACTGTCGCAAAGTTAGACATTTTTAAAAGCTATTTTCTTAAGGTCTACAAACTTGAAACCATATGAATTCATTCTTCATTAGACATGCATTTCAGGTAAAAAATATCTTCCTCGAAACAAAAATATTTGTCTTTTTATAGCATCTGCAATTTTCGAAAATGACAGCTGACGAAATTGGTGCCTCCTTGTTGGTGAAGTTTGATATTTTTTTTTCTCGTCAAGTTATGCCGTTAACCATAAAACGAAGTTCACTTTCGGGCTACCTGGTGAGAGGTGCACGAAATATAAAATACTCAATAAAATCTAAAATATCAACTTTTGGACCCGTGTCGATCTCTCGTAGAATCACCCTACAGTAACTTGGTTATAGGGTGGCTGGAATTCTAACCAACCTAACTCGGTCCCGATAATAGTGCAATTTAAAATGTGGGCCGTTCACCAGCTACGTGCCGCAGTTCGCTATAAACTATTCCACGCCAGCTTGCTTTACTCGGTACAAAGCGACAACCGTTGTGTGTTAGATTACCCGCATAGTATGTCAAAAAGAAGCCCGGCTAAGTTATCTACATAAATTGTTGTGTGTTTCCGGTGAGAAAAAGAGAACAAAGAAAGGTCTGGGTCATTTGTAATGTGACGCGAGTCCAAAACTGCTGCTTGCAGACCAGTGGTGTCTGCGCTTCATTCCCCGCGAGAACGGCATCCACCAGGTGCACATCCGCCACAACGGCATCCACATCCCAGCGAGTCCGTTCCGCATCCGCGTCGGAAAGGACGACGCCGATCCGGCCGCCGTGCAAGCCTACGGTCCGGGTCTTCGGGATGTCAAGAGCGGTGAGTACCATTCTGGCAAAACAATTATTAAGTGCAACCACAGGAAAACAGGATTCTTTTCTTTTTTTCGCTAAACGTGAGGGCGGTCTCCAGACAGAAGAACTGAAAGCTACCCAATTATTGATATGTAGGTATACGTGTCTCGTGGCAGCGGTCGCACGATGGTGCTCATGTATCCTGGCGCATTCCTTGTGTTTCGTCGTGTGGTCAAAGCAGATCTCGGAGGCCACGCAGAAAGAAGCGCGTGGCTGAGATCTGCTTCTCCAGGAGCCGCAGCGGTTGCCTACAAAACTACAGTCTGCTCTTTCACTGAACTCATTCAATGAATTTTCATCAGTTATTCCGACAACTAAATGGCCCTCATCTAATATAAGATTATGCTCCAAGATCACATCCGGGTTCGTAAGCAGATTTTTTGGGGGGGGAGGGGGGGGGGTATTTTTTTAAGCGGTCGTTTCTCGCTCTGTATGTCGTGGCGAAAAAAAGATTTCAACGAGAGGGGGGGCGGGGCGGATGGACCCGGTTTGCCACTCCCTCGCTGCACCACTGCATGTATCCAATTTACCCGTTAACTCGAATCGTACCATCGATTCGTGTCAGCTTTCTTTTTAAAAAACATTTTTCTGAATATTCAAAACACTGCAAATAGGTGCTCTACCGGGAGTGTTTGCAAGACAAACGAAAGTGCCACTAAAATTTGAAAGATGTAAAAACACTTCGTTCATCCGTAGGCGTCAAGACTGACTTCGTCGTGGACACGTGCAATGCGGGCGCGGGGTCCCTGGCGGTGACCATCGACGGCCCCACCAAGGTGAACATGGACTGCACCGAGGAGGAAGAGGGCTACAAGGTGCGATACACGCCACTCGCGCCCGGAGAGTACTTCATCACCGTCAAGTTCAACGGATACCACATCGCCGGAAGCCCCTTCCGCGTCAGCTGCACAGGTGCGCCAAACGACTGCCCGTGCCTAGAGTGAAATTAAGAATCAGTTTTAGACTGATCGATTCTAATTTGAAAACTGTAATTTCACCATCATAGGTTTGGTACCAGAAGATAAAATGAAGGTCAGTTTCATATTAAAATTTCGCGCCGAGATCTTCGGACGTGACGTCACAAATTTCAGCGTTTTTTTTTGTATTTTGGCAACCTTGGCTCAACGAAATTTCCTGAAATTTTGCACGTTGTATGTCTGGCTCCGACAGAGGTGAAGCTTGTTGGGGACATATATACAAGTGGGCCATGTCAATATGGCTTGCTGGGTCTATTCGATTTGCAGCGCAACGCCGACAAAACGCATATTTAATAATCAAATAACTGAAAAGCTTCATGTTTTCTCTTTGCAGGCAGCGTCACCCGAAGCACTGGAGGCCGTAAGCAAACATGTTTCACTACTTTCAACGCATGTATCTTGCTTTTAATTACATACTAGACAAGGTTCCATTCATTTTATCACACATTTCCGTCAAGTATAATGGTTATAAATGTTGTAGCAGTATAATTTCAATGAAAATGCTATGAGGACGTCTGCTTCCACAGACGACGTACATGTCAGCTTTAAAAGATACAGCTTTGAAGACAGGCACGGGAGTACTTCAGGAGTCTGCGGCATTTCTTCCTCCAAAGTGGATGCACAGAAGCTTGCACCAATGGGCGCGCACTTCAGGTTGACGTCATCCGCAAAACATTGTGGAGTGTATCAGACGGGTTCCGGTGCCGCCATGTTGGGTTGTTACACTTTGTGTTTTGCATTTTTAACAGCAAAACAAACAGCGCTACGATGGGCGCATGCACATGAAAACGGTCAAGTTGGGACGTGTGATGCTTCATGGCTTTATTCATTAACGTCGCAATATACAGAAACAATAAAATATCAACTTAACAGCCCAACATGGCGGCGCCAACATGTCGTAGGTAAAATGGTCTATAGTTCAATCGTCGCGGAGTCGTTAGGAATCTTCTGGGAGGAGAAAAGGGGACTTTTGGATTTTTTCGTTGGTGCTGTAGTCTGGCCGCGTGCAATTACACCAAATGCATAAAAAGAGAGACAAAGAGAGGGAAGCTTAACCGGACAAGCGTCCGGATAGCTACCCAAACTCTTAATTACCAAAAACAATATTTAATTTAACTGGTATTGTGATTGTGGCACACTTATATGTGAACCTCTAACATAACTGCATTTAGACAACTTTGGTTTATTGTTCCCCTGGTGTTCTGCTTCTAAATGTTATTAAAATATGGCATTAATTCAGCTTATTTCCCAGTAGAAAGTGTCAACCTCAATATGACCTTAAGCTCCGAGAGAACATCAACATCAAGGAGAAAAGACACAAACAAAAGTCAGTTCTTTACCTCAGCTGATAGAAGAGAGCACAGCAGTTGTCAGCTTCCCTTAGACTACAAATGTCATTAGACAGCCACGATGAAGGGAGCTTGACATTCAGAAAGTAAGGGGAAGGGGAGGGGGGAATGTCGTCTTTGACCAAGATGATATTAGCGTTTCGGGCTTGAAATTGTGTGTGGATGAACGTCAGTGAACGTGAGATTAGGTGAATGAATGACGAGTCTTGACTGACCTTCTGGAACAGAAATGCTCTGTGAAAATGAGACCCATGAAGTTGTCTTCCAATATGATTTTAGATATTGAAGTTGGACATATAATTCAATCAAGATAAAAGCAAATTAAGAAGCTTTTGCTAATTGTGTGCTCGGTGGCTTGAATATACGTAGCGAATTGCACACGCCAATGCATACAGGCCGTCTGTAAAAGCACATATCGCGTAAGTTAAAATCATTTGCTTGAAGAGACGTATAATATGATCGAGTATGCGTTGGCTAAGGACATGTACGTCTGATCAAAGTAAGCAGTATGGTGGTATTCACAGTGTCGCACTAAAGCTAGTCCCAAAATCACAACACTGAGACGGAGCTCGACTTAGTACACAGTCTGCTTAGTAACTCAAAACACATGTTGCACATATATGGTGAGTGATATTATATATATATATATATATATATATATATATATATATATATATATATATATATATATATATATATAGATAGCACCCTGCTCTCCCTTACTACTGACAAAATAATACAGTAACAATCGTGCTCAAAATTTTCCCTCTCTTTTCCTTTCGCTAGCAGAGACTATTTACTATTTCCTAATGTTTAACTGTAAATCGGCAAAAGGCCTGATACATAATCGAACAAGACTCGAGGTAGGACGTAGCACGGTGGCGCATCGCCTCTCCCTAATCTCGGCTTCCTTCTAATTCCTTGATTTTACGCTCCGGCTGCGTATGAACGGCGCGTGCGTACACGCAGGCCTGTCCATCGCCCCGCCCACTTCGCCGGAGACGTCTTCGATGACCGTGGACACTGTGGTGAAGCAGGCTGTTCAGAAGGCCGACCAACTGCCCAAGTTTCGATCTAACGCCGCTAAGGTGACCTGCAAAGGCATGGGCCTCAAGCGCGCTGTCCTCAACAAGAACAACCAGTTCACCGTCAATGCCGTGGACGCTGGTGAGTACATGACTGGCGAAAAATAGCCAGAACATCATCTCTCACTATAGAGTGACATGATATAAAGAAGCTTGATAATTTGCTCTTATGACGTGACCAGCAGGAGGCATTGCCACATGCAGACGGCCAACCTCTGTCAATGGCTTGCTGTTATCTGATCATCAAAACAACTACGAAACTCATTGAAATCTGGTCGTAGCCACATTGACCACGCACCACCGTACAGAGCTGCTGAAGTATTTCTGAGGCGTTCCTAGCGTTATTTAACCGCTTGAGTGGATATAGGTGAAGCTATACATAGGTTGCAACTGGGGCAAATCAATAAAACAGACAGGTATAGAAAATATTTGAGGGTAGGGGGAGTTGGCGAAACACCAGTTTGACAAGCATAGAACCGGTAGCAAACTAACGGCAATAAAAATGTGTTCATCATAAACTTCTTCATAAGTTCTGCTACCGTAGTATTTGTGACAATTTTTGCCATTTGTGCAGCTTTTGCAGTCTACATATAGCCGCTGTTTTATACCTTCAATGTAGTTTTTTCTTTTTTCTCTGCTCATTGAGCCATAATTCAGAACTATTAATAGACTGTAGGTTACAACAGTCTAGAACCGTCACGCCCACATTGGATCCGCCTAGGCTATTCATTTTGACAGGTTGTCGACAAGGCAAGATTCAGCGGGAAATCACATGCAGCATTGACATGAATCTTGTTTTCTGCTTTTTTTCTGGCTTGGAGAGCCTCTTTTTGCAATAAACTGCATATATATGTGTGTGTTTGTGTTGGCATACCAGGAGCAATTTAATTTTACAGTTTATACATAATGTACCAGCACTACAATGCTTCTGCGATAAAAAAACGGACAGAGTGTGAGAGACAAAGGTGGAAAGGGACGAAGTGTGTGACTTCACAAGCGATTAGCGGGAAAATACGTGTGACGTCGTACCTTAGGAGCCAATAGTAACAGTTGGTGAGCCACGTCACTCATACGAAGTGACTACTGCCATTCCTTCGAGGGTTCAACAACAGCTAGCAACAAGCGTCTGTCGAAACACCCACCTAATGGTCCCAACACAGTAAGAGATAGAAGTTCAGATGAATGAAAGCAGAGACCCCTATAATGAAACAGTTTCCGTTGGTTAGGAAAGGGCAAGCGGAGAACCCACTGACAGAAATCCAACACCCATGCAGATGAGTTGCAATTGCATTGCATGTTTATTGTCCGTTCAGTTTGATCAAGAGGCACTCATGCACAGAAAGAACACGTAGCACCAACAAGATCGCAACAGAGCTTCCTTTTCTTCGTTCAAACATATGCACATCACTAGTATGCACTCGTTAGAAAACACCCACAGTTCACCCACAAGCAAAAGAATGAAACACAAGGCTCTGCACCTGTAGACGTGTCATGTATTCATACGTCTATGAGCACATGAATGCAAGTTGCTCAGTCGTGACTAGCTATACATGGCGAGAACAAAAAATCCTAGGGCATAACACATTTAGCTATGTCTGCATATAGGGACTAGCATATTTGGCCCAATTGACTATTGAGTATATTATTTACCCCAAACAACGCACAGTTCTCATATTTCTAAACGTCTTTATTAACAGCATTTAAGCAGTCAATATGTGCCTAGCTTATCCGAAATTCATTTAAAGAAACCAATGTGTGCTTGCAGGAAGGAGGTATGAAGCATACCAACACTCAGTTATCACGACTGATTTTATGTGTGCAGTGTCATCCTCTCTCTCCCTATATATATATATATATATATATATATATATATATATATATATATATATATATATATATATATATATATATATATATATATAAGATATATATATATATATATATATATATATATATATATATGAGCGAAATCATCCAACATAGACGCGAGAACACCTGAAGCTGTTGGGTCAAATATGCGAGGCCCTGTACACGCCCCGAGACGCGACGGAAGCAGCAGGGAAACATTCATTGTTCGATGCTCATATTCACTTGCATTAGTAAAGAAGACCCCTGTTTACATGCACACAGAGTCTAAACTTGATTCGTGTATTACATGTGTACCTTCGTGCATCCGTACATTTGGCTTCGGTTTCCAATGCTTAACCATGGCACATCATGTAAACTGCGGCAGTCACCTGGTAAGAATACGTCTACAGGTGCACTGGAACTATGAATTAGATCTAGGCTTCGATACTGGGAACTATTATGAGCGCCTTAAGCATTTTCACTAGTTCTAATATAGCTTTGTGCTGCAACCGATCATCAGCAGTGAATGCTGAAAGCACAGGCACCAAACAAAGTTCGGGAGGGCTAAAATTTTGTCTTCTGCAGAGACAACAGAGTGTACCAGAATGTTTTAAAATCGCCAAACAATTTAACTTAAAGGGTGAATGATATTTTCTTAAGTGCCACATTTCAAAATTTACCACAGTCAACACATGCACCTGTCATGTTTGTTAACACTATGCAGGTATCACACACATGTAAGATGCACGTTGCAAGTCTGCATAAGTGACAGCGCACACAGAAATATATTGCTGAATTAGAATTTTCTGGTGCACTCGTGAAAATAATACCACAGCACAGCTACATTTAAGGCTTTAATGCAGCATTAAATGTTGTTGACACAAAGTGAGAAGGTTACTAAGTGGTGTGCGGTACACCTCTACCCTATAGTGCATATGTCCCGCTAGCAACTCATTGAGCAGTGAAGAAATGCAATTACCAATGCATATTAGCACAGCCTTAAATGAGGGCAGGTGAAAGCCACATCCGGACAACTGAAGGGTGCATGCTTTGTCATCTGGCGTAACTGATAGTAATAAATTCCCGTTATAAATTATAGTTTTAAGCAAAACGTGCTTTCAACTCCAGTCTGTAAATTATACGAAGTAGATTATTGTGCGTTGAATGTGGCAATGTAATGGCAAAGGAAAGTCTGGCTCTGTTATTTCGATAAGGATGTTGTCGAAACCAGATGCATTATTCTTGATTTCTTTCACGTTTTGCAGCATGTCCAGATATAATTCAATACGAATATAAAGAAGACCTTTTAGAATATCACTTAAATCACTGTGAATATACTAAAGTGACTAGAGAAAACTATATCCACTATCTTTATTCAGCTGCGGTCATTTCAAATCCTGTTATTAATAAAGCTGCACAGGTTCAAAGTTATGCCGATTCTCACACTCAGGGAAGCAACAGTAATGCAACAAAAGTGTGAATGTATGCAGTAATTTGAAACATAGTGAATCCCCCACAAGAAGTGCTGACTGTGCATAACCTGCTCTTCACAGGCAACAACTTGATCTACGCCAGTGTGTATGGACCCAAGGGACCCTGTGATGAAGTATTTGTCAAGCACCTGGGTCGCAATCTCTACCAGGTAAACTATGTGGTCAAAGATCGCGGCGACCACATTGTGATCGTAAAGTGGGGCGACGACCACATCCCGGGCAGTCCCTTCAAGGTTGAAGTAGTCTAGGCCTCGACATTTACACGACCGACCGCTGCTTGCTTGGCCCTCCCCGGTTGCCGCAACCGCCGAGCACGCACAGCCAGCGATGTGCCCTTGCAGTGACGTCACATAACAGCTGCCACAGCGGCACCGCGCATCTACATCAATGCAGCGATCTTGAACGCAGTCCAGTGAGCCTGCCTGAGTCATCCTTATGCAATGCTCCCTATTAGAGAGACGTGGCAAGCACATATATAAAGGCACACATACCGAGCCATCTTACAGCCCCAGATTTGCTGCTTCACTGCAAGGCAACATTCAACAAGATGACTGTCTGCAACAGACGTTGCCTGCTAAAGCACCCGCAATGCACCAGCACTGTGCCGCATCTATGAAATGACTTAACTGTGCGTTGCATAATTTGCGACATGTTTGACCACTGGCCTTCCTTCTAGATCGCTGCTGTGACAACGCGAGGACTGCACCAAGAAATCCCAGTGACTGTGTTTCCTGGCATCATGTAAAACTGTGACGTCAAGTGCAAGGTGCCTCCACCGAAAGGCATCGCCAACGGCTGTGCCCACTGCCAATGTGCTCCCTACAGCCGCCCAAAACAACCGTTGCCATACTCTACCGTGTTAGCCTTTTCTTCCTCTGCAAATGTACATTGAAGAGTGTTGACCATTAAAGAAGTGATGTGATCAAATCGCACCGGCCAGTCTTGCTAGCGCCTCCCTCTCACAGCTTCCCAACCACCATAGATGCTCTAACAGGGGATGACACAGTACAATACACCCTTAGTTTCGCACAAATTTCTTTACCCCATAGCAACAATGCCACTGCAGTGAAGATGCAAATCCAAAGATAACACTGTGCTCTCACAAACTAAGCCTGAACACTTGCCCGGTCAGACAATGTAGGACACTACAATGTTCCAAAAACTCTTCAAGCAAGAAAACTTTAATAAAATGATAACCAAGCTCCTCAAACAAAGTCCAGCATGTTGAAAAACATTTGTTACATCACAATAGCAATAAAATGTGCTATGCCTTTCAGATCTATCTACATATGATTATAATCACTCTCTTAGCTACACTATACTACTAGATGCCTCTCTTTTTCTTTATTTAATGTGGTGTGACATATTGAACAAACTTCCTTCCTTTTTTTTTTAATGAATTATGAATAAACCTTTATACACTAGAGCCTGGTTACAAGTTACATTCTAGCCACTTATGCCTAAAGGAACAATTGAGAGTCTTTACAGTGCTTTTCTGCGACAACAGTGAGCTATTGCCATTCTTAACAAACTATCTAGTAGAGCATTATTTGTCTACCAGTGATGCATCATGAATGCACTAAGTGAGCAAATCGCCAGGGTCTTTTCACATGATCTATGTAGAAATTGTGGTGCCTCATAAAACACTCGAAAAAGTATTGAAGTTTGCACTTACAAAGACGTATCGTGAGCATCTGAACGTGATATCAGTAGCACGAAGCCACTTGGTTTTGTAAACAAGAGCTAGTACAGTGCTGCTTCATGCAAAGCCCTCTCAGCAGAATGAACTGCACATTTGGCGAGTACACAACAGATCGCTGCAACATCATGAATTCAGTGCTGAAGCCGATAGTGCACACTCAAAAGACAGCGCAGATAAGAAAGTTATATAGAAAAATGCGTGAACACAGTTCAGCTCCATAACAAACAAATCTGCAGCTCAGTCGGTCTGAGATGAGTAATTCTAGATAACAAAGCGCTTTGAGTAAAAAAGAGAAGTGCCCCTAAGTTCATCACGTTTGTTTTCGCCAGAGTACAACAACATCAACAAATCGTCACCACACGCGACTCTGAATAGACGTAGTAGACAAGTGTTTCGCAATATGCGGTAGTGGTGTGAAAAAATAAGGAACAACTAATACTTTCTAGAAAACGTTCTCAAAGTGCTCGAGTGGTTCCACTATTAAAGTGGCCGAGCCACTTCACAAGGCTTGAATGTTCCTATTGCCCTAGGTCTTGGGAATTGCACTTCACTGCGGCCCAACCCTAGGTGGTGCACATGCTTCGTTGATTATGTGTAGAAAACCTATGTAATATCTAAGATCAATAACATCACCCTCTATCCCACTGACAACTCTGGACACACAGCTAAAATAAAAAAAAAACCTAATGTGCATAGATCTCGTCCGCAAGTGCTGCCCAGGTTCAAGTTGCTGTGTGAGAAAATGAACCTGTGCCTACACAAACTTTGTGAACTACGTATCGTGGTTTGCGATGCTGGAGCAACAAATGGGTGAGCGAGAAAAAAATACTGCAATCGGTGGGCACAAAAAAAAAAGTGAATGTTTGATTTGCTTTCTATGGTGAGCTGCAGCATGAAAATGGCATCGGGTAATGTAACGAATACAAACGTAAGAGACAAAAAAGAAGTAAAAATATGGGCCGAGCTTGTGAGATTACTGGCAAAACACTGCATTCCTGAGTGCGAATGATGTTTATTTTCATTTGCTGTGAGTCATTGCAGCAATAGCCTGGGCCAGCAGGTTGTAAGTATATGCACAGCACTCAGCTGTGCTATTTTGCACATAAAAAGAAAGCCACAATAACGACATCTGACATCTAAAGCTGTGAGACGGCAGAAGTAGCTGTCTCTGAAATCTTTAAAATACATACTTTCTTATTGCCGAGCTTGGAATTGCAAAGAAGCGCATACTATTTAACAAAAGGAAATCAGACTCATCATAGTTGTTTTCTATAAAAGAACAAAAAATAGATAAAACAACACACCTTTTTCACCCTGTGCACAAAATTCATGGTCTCGCATTATATTAACTAAACAGCTCTGCAAGTCAGTGTAAACTGGAAAAAGAAAATGTGGAAGGAAACAGGGGGGAACCTCTAGGGATATCACTGGGAATGTCGCAGCACCACGGCAGTGAGTCAGCGACATGCTGAAGAGAGCACACGAGTTCATGTGTCAGACACATCGCTGCCAAACAAAGGCTAAAGGAAAAAAAAAAAAATGTATACACAAACAAGGTCCCCCGAAGCAACAAACAGTGTTCATTGCACCTCTCCCAAGTAGAAGACAACGTTCCAACCACTTCACAGCCGGGTGCACAAGTGGGAACACCGTATTCACCTCGGTGTCAACTGTATGCACCCCACTAAAAAACTGTCCAGCCGTAACTGCTTCTCCTGCCCAGCCTGTTTCCTATCAATCACCCATCTGCAATTAGTCCTTCAATATTGCGCAGAGGGGAAGTCGTGTCAACTCCACTTTCGTTCCCGTCGTCCTCGTCTATGGTTCGATCACTAGATGCTCGCCTGGTTGCCGGCATGGCCCGGATGGTGGTGGACGCACGCGCTTCAATTGGAGGCTGGATGCCCGAGCGCAGAGGAACGACCGTGAAGCGACGAGCGGTCGATGCGTCCAATCACCTGATGCTCGGCCTGTAAGAAGGGTTCCGGTTCTTGATGGGCAGCGGATGCGCCTCGGTGTTCAAAACCCACTGGTCTAGCGGGAGCACCGAGTCGTCGGAGAAAAGCAGGTAGAGGTATTTGAGCGTTTCTGCGAGGAAAAAACTCTGCTGGACGTCGTCCTTGGGGCCATCTATCTGGTAGACGTTCTTCAGCCCGGTGTAGCCGCCATCCACACGACAGTGCTTCTCCAAAGCCTGGCGTCAACAAAAGCAATGCCATTCATGCAATCGCTTTCTCAATGTGCAAAAACATGAAAGGGTGACATCGTGAAAGCAAACTTGTATAAATGCAGGCTTCATTTGCAAACATACTATAAACAAAACTAGATTCCTTAGTTTTAAAAGCTGATAGGACAATGTCAAATGCTGTACTGACTTGCTACCAAGATCAGGTGTTGCGCAAATTCTACTGTTATAGCGGACAAATGTTACCGTATTTTCTCACACATAACCTGCACCGAAAATTGAAAAAAAATTGCCTGCAAAGTGGGGGTGCGGGTTATCTGCAATTAATCTGGAAGCGGAGATCGGCTTCACGGCAATGCATGGCCACTCGTTCAGTCCGCATCCCCATCGGCATCGTGTGATGCAAAGCCAATAAAAGCCAACACTGGCCATAGACAGATCCCTCTCTGTAGCGTGTTCATTCACTTTTTGCATGCTTTGTTTGATTTGGTCAACAGCGTCACAACAGCGATTTGACAACGTCTGTCTCCGAGTCAGGTGTGGCCAGTTTGCACCGTTGGTCAGCCCTGTCTGACGAGGCACCTTGAGTGGGTCTCGACATCAATCTTTCACCACCAAAAAAAAACTCGAGATTATGGCTGCTGCACGAGAAATCAGCAACACAGCTGCTGCGAGGAGGCACGACGTCGACAAGTCCTGCATTCCCGACTGGCAAAAAATAAAAGGACTCTGCATGCAAAAAGAAGCGAGCATTTGGTGGCCCAAAGACTGATGCGCACCCCCTTTTTGAGACGCAGCTTGTCAAATTTATTGAAGAGCGGAGGAGTCATGGCCGGCTGAGTCAACCAAGACGGGGCATATGGAAGCTCTGAGGTTGGCCCATGAGATGAACATCTCATGCGAGTTTCGTGCCAGCCGTGGATGGCTCCAGCGATTCGTGGCTAGGCCGGGGGAGATTTTGGCCGACATGGTGCGCAAAGCCTTTAAATAGTGAGCCACCAGCAATTCCTTGAATGGTACTGAAGTCGACTGTGTCTTCGAGAGCGGCGATGAAGCCTCTGATAGCAGCAGCGACAGCCGCGAATTTGGCGATGATTGAAAGAACCGGAATCGGCGTCGTCAACGTTGCAGCGATCGCTTCGAAACAATGTTATTTTGTAAACGAGATTGTGACTGTGCAGCTGTGACTTCCCAAAACTGTTTTTTTTTTCCCGCTTAGCATGCGGGTTATATGCGAGGCTTTTTTTATTTTATTGGGGAGTTCAAAGTTATGGGTGCGGGTTGTACGCGTAGGTAGATTATATGCGAGAAAATACAGTATAACCTGGTTGATTCAGCGTCTTTGCATAATTTTTTTGAATATTACTGCTTCTTCAGTTTGTATTACGAAAGAGTGAACATTCTTACAGCACAGCCATTAAGTCAGTTCCAGCTGAGCACTCTCCAGTTAAAAAAAAAAAAAAGCACACAAGCGATCACACCACTTTCTATAGCAGGCATAAAATCAGTACATGGGCCAAAACTATTGCTATTCTGACCCTCATATTGGCCCCCTCCCATCCTGACTAGTTGGCATGAGCCCACCAAACATGCATAATGACCCTGGTGATAGCAGAGCCAACTTTGGCAGCGCACTAGTACCACCAAAACCTAATTTCGCTTTGGTCTAGGAAGATTTTTTAAGCAAAAAGGTATCCAATCTTAGTAATTTACCTGTACCAAATCGACTCCTTTTCATGAATAAATCTCGTCTCAATAAATGCGAGCAGTAATTTGCACTGGGTCCTTACCTGCCAAGGGCATTTTAGGCCTCGCACAGTACACAACACATTAGAGACACTGTTACCCACCTGAACAGCTTCCCAGCCCCAATCACGATACTTCTGATCCTTTGTGAGCCTCCAGAGGTAGAAGTAAGACTCAATCACTTCAGGACGCAGAATGTAATACTTCTCGTTCTGCTTAGTGGCCTTGGCCTCCAGCTGTTCTGTGAAACGGAACGACTCTGGACCCAGCTTGGTCGCTACATGAAAAAATGTGTATATGTTCGTCTTCCTATACTTCACCAGTAACAGAACTGACTGGTGCCAAAGTAAACAAAAAGAAAGTACTGCGCTACTCATTACAGTTCTGAAACGGTAACATGTTACTAAGCTCTTGCAAAAAGAAAAACCTTTTGGCCAACACTGCAAATGCAACATTGTACATGTATGAAATCAACTAGTCCTTGAATATTCAAAACTTCAAATATTTTTCTAATAGTGTATGCTATTCGATTTGACTCGCACTAGAATTTTACTATTCAAAGTATTCGAACTTCTCCAAGACAAATACAATCAACATCTGAATGGCAGATTTTTTTTAATAAGCTTCACCCGATCACAGTCTCGCATTGCGGCAAAAGCTGCTTTTCATTGCTGCCACGGTTGCAACTGTATTGATTCAAGAAAGCGCTGGTTCCAACATGGAGTTGCACTGCGCCATTACAGTGGCCCCTTGATAGTTTTAATATCCTCCACTGCATCAAACTTAAGTTAGCGGCAAAGATGCCCTTAGGGCTCTGCTGTGGACATATATGGATTTACTCGCGAAAGTGCTAGTTCGAAACTACACGGCAGAGGTGGGATTTCAAGTAATGCCAATACAAACGAGAAAGTCCAGAAAAAATCAGATGAAGATATTCACTATCCAAAATTTCAAATATTTTTATACAGTGATGTTTACAGGACAAATTAGCAACTCTGAATTCGAAGGCAGCACGCACTTGTTAGCCAAATTAGTTGGGCCTCCACAGAAGTTAAAGAGGTGAGTTGGGAGAAAATAGCGCCTTTTCCTTCCATGTGTTAAGTGTTGTCATCACCACATTCGCTGCCCCGTATCACGTAAATAAATATCATGCGATCTTTGCACTGCCACATCCTTGATAAAACAACTAGGGAACACCATACTTCCAACACTCTACCAACTTAGCAAAAAAAAAAAAAACACTCTCCCATGCTCCTATCTTATAATAATTTCTAGGGGATCCTCTGCAACTTTTTTCTGTAATTTCACTATGATGTATTTCAATAATATTAAACAAATAATGAGCAATATTGCAAAAATATTCTATTCAATTTGAACTCAAGCTTTAATATTCGAACATGCTTCACACCCGTAATTTTGCTATTTGCATAGCTCTAGTAGAACAAACAGAGAATATTCAATCTAGGTTAACTTACGTGTCCTGTCATAAGATTCATGACATGTGTTAGTGATGTTCTTTGCCACATCCATGAAGTGGCCCTTGGCGACTGAAGGGTCCTCTCCAAGTGTCCGGGACATAAGGCCATAGAAGCCACCTAGAGAGGAGGCAGCTCATCAGAGGCTTCCATGCAAACATGACACTCTTTAGTAGTACAAGTGACCTCCAAGTTTTAAATCAATTTTCAGAAAAAAATAACAGTACATCGTGAAGTTTACAAGACCATATAAATAAATAAATAAATGAACAATATACAATAGTGGTGATGGGATGTGCCAACAGAAGCTTTCAGGTTTCCATTTTTATGCCAGAACATTTTGTATTGTCACAATTATCACACCATCATTACAGTCACATATCGAAGAGCAACATGTCAATTAGAGCGCAAGGCATGTTTACGGGACTTAACATTGTCACATGCAAAAGTTCTTTGCTTTCTGTTAATAGGGATGATAATAATCGTGGCACCACACCTGCACATTTTTAAAATCAGCTAAACAGCAAATTTACTTCCATCGATAGCATTGTGCATACTATTAATCGAAAATATAGGAACAATCAAATTTCATTGCATGAGGTCTAGCCATACACTGTACCAATATGTCGAGATTTCAGGCAAAAAAATGAAACAGGCTGATCAAAACAGGATGAGAAATAAGACCTGAGATGAGATATTGTCGCCAACCAATAAATCATACTGCGATAATTTGAACATGCTCGGTAATACAGACAGCTGTGCGGCACTGCCGATGGCCCCATAGAACGACATATATACGTAAAGACGACATATATTTCAGACAGCTGCCAGATCTACATTCGATAATCTGAAGAAGTGCACACTGAATCGGCAGCCATTATATCTTCATTGGTACTCGTACCATACAAAGCTTGGCCTCAGAGATAAAAATGAAAGCAAACTGGTGATCTGTGAGGCTTCATTTCAACTGCTTCATAGCTTTAAAAATGCTGATCTTGGAGGCAGTTCACAACTTTGGGAGGTTGTATCGACATCGCAAACATTCTATGTTACGGTTTCGGTATCCCCGCACTATTATGGCGCTGTACTGCTGTCGCCGCCATTCTGTCGTACGTGTCTGCAGTACTGCGTTCTCCTGAAATCTTCATGCGTTTAGTTTTGTGTCGAGACCTGCTTTATTTGGTGTTCTGCTGTCCCAAAAGATCTACGTGAAATGGCACCAATGGTGCCTTTACAACCAGCGCCGAAAGTCACGCCGCCTCCGACGAAACACGGCAGACATACACAATGCCAACCGTGGCAAGAAAAACTGGCATCATTTTGAAAGTGCACAGGGGTCGCCCCAAGTCAAAGTTGCCTGAGTGTTCAAGAACCCAACACTTGCAATGAAAGAGCCTGACCTGCCGCCCAGCGCAAAGAGCTAAAGTGCGGACCTTATTGACAAACTGCAAAGCTGCGGAGTGCCGATTCTTGACGCAGTTACTTTTTAAGACTTCCCAAACGTCGACAGTCTAGTGTTGTCGTGTGTGAAATTGAACGAAGACGACATGATTGAGCAGGTTCTGCAACTGCCGAACAGTAATTTTGACTGATGAAGACGACGCATCGTGTGCTCTGGAACAGTCGCATGTGGACCTGTCTCAAGCCCTCACAATTCTTTCGTCGACAACTCGTTCTACCTGTGCTCGTACAGCGAGCGTACGACACTGGCCGAAATACAGACAAACTTGGTTGCACGTAAGCGGAAGTGCATGCAGAAACGCATTGACAGCTTTTTCCGGCCACCGGGTTACTGAAGCGTCAACAAATGTATTTTTTATCTGAAGCATTCGTTTTTTTTTTTTTTTGGACATTCGATAATTCGAACCAGTACGTTCCCCGTGGAGTCTGAATTAGCAGTCGTCAACTGTAACACATCGACACGCACCTGCAAAGCAGGCCAAATGATCCATCTTTGGCTCCACTCGGTCATACTTGATCTCGGCCAGGTAGAGGAACCCACTTCTAGACTGCAGCAGCATCTTTGCCTCGATAGCCTAGGCATGAACACACAAGAATGTCAATGTGGCAGTTCTTTGAATGTGGTCCTCACACAGCCTTATTTCCAGAACCTAGAGAATGCTAGAGTGAGTGCAATGAGTCATAATGAATACATATACAGTAAAACCTTCCTGAATCAAAGTCACTGGGACTGTGAAAAATCTTATAATTGAGTAGTTTTTGAACTAACAAAATATATCAACAGTCCGTATACAAGGAACATTAGATTACTGAAAGTAATCAGAGGTGGTTAGGTGCTATAACCGCTTGTTTGCAGGCTCCAAGGGTTTTGTTATCGAGCAACATAATACTTTCAGATGCAGCATGAAAGCACTGAACTAAAGACAGTCAAGAGTGATAAGCCATACAAGCAGGCCAGATAAGACCTCTCGGCTGCATGAGGTGAAGTTCTATACTTGATTCACATGTTAATGGCAGTATTGTATACATATCATGAAGGGAACACCCTCTCACCATGTTTAAGTACTGCAGTACCCTTCTTGTGTGAAGATGTAAAACTACTAGCTCACAGCAATCTGTTCTCACAAGAATGAGTCTAACTAAACTTGTAAACGACAAACTTCAGGTGTGCATCACACCTCTTCGAAGGCTGATGATATTGAATCATGAGCGTTGACAAATACCAACTAAATGTCAATCGGTGGCGCTAACCTTGACAGCATCCAACAGCAGTCGCTTGGCCTGCACATCTTCGCCATCAGACTGGATCCACGCCTTGAGGAGGTACTCATAAAAGCTGTCGCCCAGAGCTCCCATAGACATGTGGTCTGCCAAAAGCAACTGCCGGCAGAGTCTAACATATTATCAAGATTCATCACTCAATGGCCTTACATGACCTTTCAGCACATTTCCAGGTAATCATTGAGTGACCTCACTCTTAGAGGTTACCGCATCACGAATAGACTGGCCCAAAAATTTTCATATCCCAACAAGTACGAGCAAAGTTACAAGGATTCAACGGATGCTCTAAACACTTTTTATCTCCTTTCGTGCCCAGCAAGCGCGTTGAAAATTACACGGGGTGGAAATATAAGGAGGCAAGAAGCAACGTCCGTACATCAGTCATAACCTTGGGCACTTTCTATTTGTTTTATTTAAATGCTGCAGCTCACTTTCAGCAGGATCATGAGCATGCTGGTAGAGCGTGACGAGGGCATGCAGGTGCCACACTGCAATGGCCGCCGTAACTATGCACCTCGCAATGCTGAAATCGGCCAATGACTGTGGTTATGTAAACGTGACGCAATGGACTTTCACTTTGGGTAAATGGCATCATTTGTCGTGAGAGCAGCGAGCATTTTCTATCTAAGTAAAATTTAATTGCAAATTCCAAGCACTATGCTGTGCTGTAAAGTTTGGCTCACATGTTTGCAAGAGCCTCCACTACATAATATAGGCCGAATTTTCAGGGCATATTCAAATAGTGCTGTGGGGCCCTTTTACAGAACATGGAGTATACTGAAAAGCTGATGGGGACAATGTATCGATGTCGGAGACAGAAGTTTCAAGCGTGGAATTAGGATAAACATTTTCTCACTGATCCTTGATGAAACAGGACCCACGACCATTGATAAAGAAGATTTTATGAATGTTTGTCATTGATTGGCTGGAAACTTGAATTGTAGCATTTGTCACTGAATAATGACCATTATGTGACGCTCATTACGTACATGAATGAACATGGATAATTTCCAATTTATTAAGACATTTTTGCTACTAACAGACTTTCTGCCAAGAATGAAGCCTCTCGGAAGCACCAGTGCACGACAGGGTAGGTCAGCTTTGCTTAGAAAAATACACATGAATAAAATAACAGAATGCTCTAGCCTCCAAGAGAAATGACGAGAAAGGCAGATGGACTCACGCTGTCCCCAGCGTCCTGTCTTGGGGTTGATGTAGTTCGGGTAAAGGCCTTTGGGCTTGTCAAGATCGGCCAACACCTGCCTCACCTTGTCCACTTTCTCGCGGAAGACCGGGTTGCCTGTGATGTCGCTGAGGTAGGAGAACTCCAGATGCATGGTGCCCAGCTCGGCTAAGATCGAGCCGCCACTCGAGGCCCAAGCGTAGTTCTTGCTTACACCCCTGGAACACAACAAAAGCGCCGTTCTAGAGCCTCTCTTACGCCTTATTCACAATTAGTAACACTGCATTTACTCTCTCTATACAAGTACTCTCTGTTTCACATACAGCAGGTAATGCTGACGCAGGGGCCACAACCGCGCAACCTGCAGACTTTTGACTAGCGGCCTGGCCAACAGATGACTGTCTTTGTTCCATAGTTCTGTTTTTTTAATAAGAGAGCAGAGTGGGTCAGGGAACAAACCGGGGTTAAGGATATCATTGTTGAAATCAAGAAGAAGAAATGTACATGGACCGGACACGTAGCACACAGGCAGGATAACCGCTGGTCATTAAGGGTAACAGACTGAATTCCCAGGAAAGGCGAACACACGAAGGGGAGACAGAAAGTTAGGTCGTCTGATGAGATTTAAAAGTTCACAGGTATAATGTGGCAGCAGAAAGCACAAGATCGTGTTGATTGGCGTATCATGGGAGAGGCCTTTGCCCTGCAGTGGGTGCAAACAGGCTGGTGATGATTATGATGATTTATGAGCTGCACAGATGCAACTGATCTCAAGCATTTGGTTTCATGAGGCACACCATCTATTCACCATGTTTTAAAACATAACCACGGAACGGAAACTATGTGTTTCAAGAACTGCCTCCAAAATTTCGCAATTTCAGAGGTCAGTATCGATATATATTTCTCAGACCCTGACGCCCTATGTCTTGTGAAAGGACTCATAAGTGAGACACGGGAAGGGCCTTCTTTCAAATGGCAAAGTTAGAATACAATTGGACATTATACTAATGGCTTACAGAACAGTCCGTCATACGACCTGTTTTAGAGTACTTTAGTATGGTCCGGTCGGCTCACTGGAACGTTTTGAGGACAAAAACCGAGAGAATACAAAAATTAGCAGCCGGTATTGCATGCGGTAGATACCGACACACACTTCGTCACAGCTTTGTTAAAGTTCTGTGAGCTAGCCTTTCAAGTATCACAGTCGCAAAGATTACCTCAAACTTTTTTCAAGATTAGATACGGGCAAACAAAAATAAACAAGCATCTACAACTTCGGCCACCTGGATGGCGATGAGGTCCTCTCAATATAATAGCAGAGCTATTCAACCTTATTTCACACACACCACTGATTTCCACCCTTTTTTTTTTCCATCGTAAAACAGAAATGTGGTACAATTTACCTAATGCGGTTTTTCAACAAACAATATCAGTTAATTTTGAAGATACGAGCAGCTTTCTCAGTACTGATACGTGCTAACTTCTGTTGCGAGCTTTAGGTCCTTAACATTTATGTTAGTCGCTGTTGCTGCTCATTTTTCGGATGCTGGTTAGTCATCTGTCATTCCTATGTGCTATTGAATGTTTTTTTTGTGTAAGGTTATGTATTATGCCACACCACTCCTGTAATGACCCCAAATGTAGGGTTGCCAGTATTAAATAAATTAATAATGGCGTTCAAGAGCTCTTTTCGCAAAAAATCCCAGCATCGGTGTTGGTGTCTTCAGTTATGAACAAAGAATCACGGCTGGCTGTGAGCGAAAGTTCGCAATAGATGCAATAAAGATAGGAGCTAGAGGGTGTTTGCACTTCAGGTTTCCTAGAGGCACAGTTTAGGTCTCCACCAAAAAGTAGACATAGGACAAGGAGGCGCCAGGTGTCGGTTAGGGGGACACCAATGGACAAATGTAGGGGGTGCGTTTATGTATTACGCGGGACAAGAAAACAATCCAGATTATGACGAATGAAGTTGGGGGTGTGTTTATTGTGCAAGCGAGTTAATTACACGAGCAAATACGGTATTTTTAGCGGGCCAGAAAATATAATTGGGCTGCAATACTTTGTTAAAGTCGTCTCCTTTGGTTTCCCAGCCAAAGTAACTCGTAACAAAAATACTAGTGATCACAATACCAGTAGGCCAATCAACACCACAACATGGCATGACAAGTGAATGACAAATAAAACTTACGTCTTGATGTTAATGAGGGCGTGAGGTATGCCTTTTGGTGTGTTGAAGGCTGGAAGCAACAGGCGGGCAATTTCCTCTGCCTTGTTCTTGAACATCTGCACCGGACATAAGAAAGGACAGAAAAATACATTCATTGCACAAGAGAAGAATGCAAACGAACATTATGTGACCACTGAGGTTGCTAAAAATCTTGGCATACAAAGCCTCCATCTGCATAGGTTGAAACAAAAAATATATATATGGTGTTTTATGCGGCAAGGGCCAATGGTTGCAACAAAAAGGAAACTAACTTTTACAACCAACACCTTCAGCTCTTCACTTTGTTTCTTTCTTTCTGTGTCCTCACTTTTTCGCATTTTTCTACAGCCATGAAACTTTCTCTACTTGTGTTTATCGTCAACTCAATTTCACAGCTTACAAAAAAACCCTGATGTCTGGTTTTTCAAGTTAGGTACAGTGCACTAAAAAAAAAGAGAGGGAAACAAAAAATATACATATATAGAGGGTGTTGAACCTGTTGAGCACCAAGTCTTTTTAAAGGATATTTATGATATGCAAAAAAAAACTAGTACAGATTATTCCCAGTTTACTGGAGCTGTCACTGGCAACTTTTTATCAGAGAGATTTAATTATTTATAATAAATTTTGTAACTCAACAAGTTCCCACTTCAAAATATGAATGAGGCGCATGTAGGCATGTTTAAATGACATCTAACTGCGCTATTTTCCCCAACATACTAAATTGTGTGCTTGTTTTTTCCGGCTAAGAAAGAAAGCAAGTGAAATGTGAAAAATACCACGTGACTACGCTTCCAACCACAAAAGACAGTAGCGACTTCAAATAAACTTCCTGCAAGAAACCACTTTGCCTGTTGCATTGTGCCAGAGACTGTGTTCCATGCTCTGGCAATGGTACGAGATGAATGCCAACGACATCTGTCACAATTTCACAGGGATTTCTTTCCCTCGATTTAACGCCACTATCATATCTCCCAGCCGACTGTTCTCATTGATAACATGGCCAAAGCACTATTTGGAGGTCACTAAAGTGAAAGATATTACAATTTTGCTTCTACACCGTAATTACTCGAATCTAACGCGCACCTTTTTTCCGGTTAAGCGAGTTCATAAATCGCATGCGCGTTAGAATCGAGTACGAACAAAAAAATTACGGTCAATCTATTGCCATCGGCAAATCCAAAATGGCCGCCCCCTACGTGCATCGGCATGGCACCTCGGCCATTTCTGCCTATGTGTTTCCCATGAGCGGCACTTCGTACGTGTGCTGAGGAGTTCGTCATCTAGTAGTGCATTAGCATCGACGGCGTGGAAGGGCCGACTCCAAAAACCCGAGTGCACCACGATGCCGCTTTTAAAAGAAAAGTCATCGCGTGTGCAGAAACGGACGGAAATCGGGCCGCATCGCGGTCGTTCGGAGTTCCCGATACGTGCGTGCGGGACCGGCGGAAACAAAAGCAGAAGATTGTCGACAGCAAAGCTTCACGCAAAGGCTTCAGTGGACCACAGCAGGGTCGGTTTCCGCAAATTAAAGAGCTGCTCGGTGAGTATGTGCTTGAGCAGCGAGCGGCACAGCGGTCCGTGACGACAGAACTGCTCCAAGTGCGGGCTATGCAATTAGTCTTAGAAAAAGGTCTAATGCGGAGCCAGTTTAAAGTGAGCAGGTGCTGGCTAACTTTATGAAGAGGAAAGGCTTTTCCCTCCGAAGGGGAACATGCATATGCGAAAAGTTTTGCGGAAAAGTACGATGAAAAGCTTCACAGTTTACAGACGTTCGTCCTAAACTTGCGGCGCAACAACGGCTACCTGCTTGGGCAAATCGGGAATGCCGATCAGACGCCTCTTTACTTCGACATGCCTGGCACCACAACCGTCGAGAAGAAGGGGGCGAAGCAAGTTCGCGTGCTGGCATCGGTGCACAGTAAAACTACAGTGACGGCAATGCTCTGTTACACGTCAGATGGGCACAAGCTTCACCCGTACCTCATATTTAAATGAAAGACGCTCCCGAAAGGAGTCGTTTTTTCGAGTGGTGTGATCGTGCGGGCCAGCGAGAAAAATGGGTGCGCGTTGCAATCGATGTCTTACGTGTTTTTTTTTTTTTCGCGGTGGAAATCTGGTGCGCGTTACAATTGAGGGAGCGGTAGAATCGAGTAAATACGGTATTTCCTTTTCTATGTTCTTTCTTTGATTTCTTCTTTTGCGCTCTTTCTTTTTCTGTGTTCTTTCTTTGACCTTACAGTTAGCCTCTTTGCGGGTGCTGCTTCCTGATGCAAGATGTAGTTTAGAAATAGAATATTCCTACATTTTGTGCGCTACTTTTTTCAGCCAGAGAAAATGAGTACGTAATTTGTAAAATGCTTAAGGCCGTGCAGCTAGACATACTAGATTACTTAAACATGTCTAGATATGTCTTACTGACATTTTTTTAATTAGGAGAGCACTTATCAAGAATAAAATCAACTGCAGCTAATTACGTAAACTTTGTTAAAGTTTGTAGTAACTAATCCCCTATACTGGGAACAATATGTACTAGACTTGCTTTACTAACACAGTTCATCTGATTTTAAATCTTGGTGCTCAATAGGTGGGGCACGATTTACAGATACCTTTCAGAATAGCTGCATATACCATGCTTTTAATGAATCTGGGTTCTTACACTGCGCAGATTTTTAGAGTACTTGGTGCACATATTGAGATTCTGTTAAAAAGTAATTGAGAAAGTGAAATCTGAGGTAAAAACATTTTAAATACTTACGTCGTCCCCAGTCAAGGCATAGCACGAGAGCAGACCACCGATAAAGCGAATGTTGGTCTCAAAGACAGAGATGTCCGAACTCTGCACGTAGAAACAGAATTTTCACAGTTAGAAATGCTCACACATTGAAAATTCTTGCATCTTTCTATGAATCATGCTTAGTAGTACTTGCTCATATTAGTCCCTGAGGAATATAACTTTATACTGTTGCTTTAGGCAGAGTATAACACTTGGTTCTGACCCATTTTGCTACACAATAGCAGCACAATTTTCTTCTTCCTTGTAGGCAATACATAGTGATTGTACAGTAGACTCCTGTTAAACAGAACCTAAAGAGCCAGGAAAATGTGTTTCCGTTTAACAGGAGCGGAACCTGAAAGGACAGTGGAAAATGTGTTCCATTTCACAGGAGTCCCATTTACCGAGAGATGAACAAGTGTGGAGAATCCAAGTAGAAACCGATTGTGCTGGAAGCAGCTGTTCCAATTTAAGCAGCCGTTCCATTCAACAGATTTCCGTTTAGCGAGACTCTACAGTACATTTAAATATTTCCAAATGGTTACACAGGCCATGTAGTGGATGCATAGCAAGTTCAAAAAAATTCTGTGCACCGAGTGTTTGGATTATGCACTAGAAAGCACGATATCCTTATCCGCATAATTCTTGAAAGGCCAGAAAACAATACCAAGGTCCTAAAATTGTTATAAAGAAAAATATGCGTACTTTCGCTTTGTGAACTTACTGCCGCAAAAATTTTGGGGACGGATGCTATATTAAGAAAGATACAGGGGTTGGAACATTGGTCTCAGCTGGTTTCAAATTTCCGCGCCATCTCGCCACCTTTCTCCCTCACATGAGGGAAAGGCGTAGCCTGTCACGCAGCCTGTCGTCGTGACTCCGCCTACAGAGCAACACTTTTCCTCCATGTTGCTCGTCAAGGGCGAAGCACGTGCGAGCATGCACTGCAAGGCCAAAAAAAGGGGCAGTTTCGTAGCTGTGGGTATGAACAGGAAATGACGTTGACTTCACCACTGTTTGTTGAGACCTGGTTTAGTCCAATCAACGAGCTGCATCCCGTCGTCAAGTCGACGTCACTGCGCATGGAAGGAGGCCGGTCGAGCATAGGAAAGATGCGCGAGAACTGTTTTTTGAAATAAGGGCTTTGCGTGGTGCACAGCGCTGTAATATTGAGAAAACGTGATTACTGCGGTCTACTCTACGAATCGCCGAGCTTGTTTTAGGGGGGTAAAAAAACGGATTCTGTTGTCAGGCTCCTTGAAGGCAAATCATAAGGGTCCCCCTAATTATTTTCATACCAGCTGTATCAATTTCCTTGTAACAATACACCTAACCTCAACTCTGCGTATAGGCGTGCGCAGCGTTCCCCTTCAGGGGGGACAAAGGTTCTTCGCAGTGCCCTTCTTTTCCTTTTCTGTCAATGTATTGGGCTGACTTTGTGAATCCCCCCCCCCCCCCTTTGTGCACATGCCTATGAATCTGCTCACAGTCTCCAAATAAGGCACATCTACATTTGTCTCACATTTGTGAATTCATGACTAGTATAGCTAGCTACTTTCAATGACTTAAGATTGCTTAAACCCACAGCATAGTATGCAAGCTTTTTCATTTCCATTCCAACTGTATAAAAACTTGGCGCAAGTAACTGGAGATCAGAACCCAATACTTGCAATACAGAGGTGCACCTAGGGTGGCCAACACTACATACATAAAACTTGTAATAGAAATTTCTTGTATTATTAAAAAAGGAAGTGAAAGCCACACACCACATCATTGAGACTGAGGTTCTCGGCGACCCAATTTCGAGCACGCTGGAATTCTTCGGCCATGCCCATGAGATAGAGGGTGTCCATACCGTCCACAATGGTGGCGCCCATGGCGGTCTTGCCGAAGATGCCTGCTGAGTGACCCTTCTTGGACACTGGCCGAAGCTCGTTCTCGCCCCATGCATAGCGCTCGTAGTTGTCCCAAGCGTGCTTCATCATCTGCAAAGGCAAGAAGACCCACATAGCCACAGTCTTCTCAATTTCAAGCACTTCCAAATTTGTTTTTCCACGTTCACTATCATCCAGGCATGACAGATCCCTCCTTCAGAATACTGCAAGGCAATATTGCCAGCTGCCCACTTTAGTGCAAACATGCAGGATCAAAATGGGTGGCTAACATGCAAAGCTTAAATGAGTGGCTTTAAGCTCTGCAGATTTGTTTTGAAATAGGAGTCTTCTTCTTTTTTTTTTTTTTTTGAGTGATATATGTGGGTTTCTTAGAAAGCAAAAGCTTTTTAGTTGACAAAAAATTTGTGATCGATTCCTATGATTTTTTTTTACTGAAAAATTTGTACGAATTTTCTCATAATACTGTGCTACAAATGAATATATGGCAATCTTTCCAAACATGATTAAAGTATTAGGAAAGAAGAATTGTGTGTCTAGCTGAAATCAAGATAAATATGTTTTGTAAGATTGAACAAAACATTTCACTTTTCTTCTAAATGAAACGGAAAATCTTTGGAATATTCATAGTACAAAAAATCTAAGGGCAATTCGTAACTCAGCTAGTAAATAAATCCAAATGTCAAAGCAGCAACCCGTTAACAATCATAAAAAGTTAAGAACGAAAAATTCGGCTGGAAGGTTTCCTAGAAAATCTAAGCACAGCTGGAATCGTGCACTGGCTGGGGTGATGATGACATTATTAAAGCCGTACATAAGACAACATTCATGACATCTTAAATTGTAGCAATAAAATGGCACAAGTCAAGTGTATGATTTCTACCAGAACACAAAAATAACAAGATCATGAGTTCAAGTTAATTAAATAGCTAAAATATTAACTTCTTATAGATAGCTAACCAAATGCAGAAATCAAATGTGTACTTGCCCTAATATCTGCTGCCTTGTTAACAAGATTTTTTTTTTTTTTTTGGCTGGAAGCTGTTATACGACATTCTCTTAGATAAAAGACTCTATAGAAGTGGTTGCTTGAATTCATTTCACAAGTTCGTAACCTTGCGAGGCCATTAGGTGCTGGCATGTCCTTGCACTTCAAATTGTGCAAGCTGCCTCTTCTCCACTTGCATAAATTGATTCAATTAGGCTCAATAAGCAACATTACGCTCAATTAGAAAGACTGCCTTGGAGCAATAGATCAAGATTGCTTTCGTCAACTAGACCTTGCATTTAAGAATGAGGATGGAACGTGCAGCTCGCAGAAATGACTGAAGAAAAACAACGTGCTCAGAATGTTGCAGAGACTCCAGTTACTAATTAAGACGCAATACACGTCAAATAAAAAAAAGGAACTTCATGAGTCAGAGGCTTTACAGAAAACGAATCTGAGCACCTTATAACAATGTCATGGCAGAAGCAGACACTACACTATCATTTGTCTTTTGAAAGAATCGCTTGTTGGTAGTTAGCACATGCTGAAGAACTTCTTTTACCACAAGATAGGACACATGCAAAAGAAAACACATGTGCACCAGCATAGATGACACTTTGAAATGATTTACTTAGGAAGCAGACATGAAATGATTACTTAGGAAGCAGATTTACTTAGGAAACAGACACAACGATGTGCAGGCTAATCACAAACCTGCGACACCAGCAGTCATATAGTTTTACCCCCATTTCTGAATCACAAAGCAAAAGCAATACATAGCTGAAACAGCTCAAGGTTTTATTTGCTGTCCAGTGCTTGCCTCTGCCAAGAATGATTCACCTCATCGATGCGACTTTGACACATGCAAGCCTTGGTGGGTGCACGCACCTTGCCATCTTTCATTAGTAGATATGGCTCATGTTCCCAGGATCATCCATTTATATAGTTGCCCACTCTTCTGAACGTACGACACGCCCGCCTTACTGCCACCTGTGTACTTCTAATCTATGCGCGTCTAATTTTGCAGCTTGTCGCGACAACCATCTATTGGACAGTGAGAAACAAAAAGTACAAAGCGGCCAGAAAAAAAAATTGAGATAAAAATGGATTGAACTGCATTTATAGACTACATTTCTACAACACCAAAAAAAAGTGAATAAGGTTTATAATGACAGAAGCCTTGATAAGACAGAAGAACGATAAAAAAGTCCGGTGATGATGTGTATCCCTTCTATGAAAACAAAAGCTTTGGCCACATCACATCAAAAATGGTCGATTTAAATCGGTATTCTGTCATACTTTAGAGAATATTGACTATCACAGCAGAGTAACGCCTAGAAATGAATACGATACTAACACTCACAAGTTCAGCGAAGCATTAAACAATGTTAGCTCATATACACAGAGAATTTTTTTTGTCTACTGTGGATTGTGTTATACTGGAAAGCGCCTTTCATAAGAGTACACTAAGTGGACTGTCCGTTTCAATACGAATTATTGCAAAGAACTCAACAACCCACGATGCTTATTGGCACTGTTCCATGAGTTCTCACCCTGTCGTGGCAGCTTAACAGGTAAGAAGTAGCGTTGCTAAGCTTGAGGGTGTGCATTAAATTCTAGGCCACAGTGACCCCGTTTCAATGGGGGCGAAATGCAAGCAGATGTAGGCACACAGTAACGCAGTACATGTTAAAATTAAACCGTTTCCCACTGAGCTGTGCTTCGTGTTCATAGTCTGGCTTTAGTCTAGATATAATTAGGTATTAACCACCAGCTCTCAAGCTCTCACTGGTCAGCTTCCACTGAAAGAAACAGTCCCCTCTGTGGACTTCTATAAAATACCACCCTTACTGTACATTCTGTCAGCCGTGAACACTCCATTGTGTTCAGTCAACTTTTTTTTTTTAATGTTCATATTTTCTATGAACTTATTATGAGCGTTTAACTCGACTGCTTGCCATTTGCCCCACCCTTTTAAATGCTTCACTTTTAGTACTTTATAGTAAACATCCACTCTTCCTTATTAATTTAGACTAGAGACCTATAAAGCCTTTTTAATTAAAAATAAATGAAATCTCCATCCCTGTCAATCACTAACATTGTGGAAACAGTTCCAGTTATTGTGAGCTAATCATATCGCCAACCATGTCAAGGAATCATCATTGTTTTATGCTAATCCTTTCATATGCAAACTCAGCCAAGCGGATCAAGGACAGTGAATTAGTGGAGCGCAACAGGTAAGTTTTTCTTTTTGTGATGGAGGTGACTGGTTGTCACTGCCACCGTTTGCTATCACTATATAAAACTCGTACAAAGGAGCGAGACAAGGTTGTGCAGGCCCTCGCTACATCTGCGACGTCACTCGTGCAACACTAGCCCACGTTCTATTCAGTCTATGGCAGTATGAGATTTTTAATAGCACTGTCTTCTCTTTCCAGACCCAGTATTATAACTTTTTCTTTTCAACTAATTTCCTGTTCTACCATGCCTTCATACAGTGCAGCAACATGGCCAAGTTATCCATTATGAACACTACTGCCTTCATCTGCCTCAATCTACTATAACTTTCATTGCTGATTCCGTAACAATAATTGTTTGGTTTTCATCCTATCCATCAAGTCTAGCGATTGATTATTATACCATGCTGCAGTGTACTAATCTAGTGGTTTTGCCCCACTTCGTCAACTAATAATGAATGCCTTGACAACATTCATAACAATGAACTCCTTCATCAGTACGATGAACCTCTACAGTAAAAACCTATAACATAGCCAAGTTTCGTTTTGAGCCATCCATTCATTTTGACCCAAGTATGCTGTGCTGCCATGCACCAGATTCAAGAGTATATTTACTATAATCTTTGGAGCCTCTTTAAAGAAAGCTCTATGTCCAGAGACAACAGAATAATGAAAACACCAATAAGCTGTACCAGTAGGCATCAGTTTCTGTGCATAAAGAAAATGTCAACATTAAATTTGCAGAATCATGAAAAAATAAACACTGTGCAAAGTAAAAAAAAAAACTAAGTGCTCTACAGGACAGTTAAACATTTCTGATTCAAACTGTGTGTAATGCCCTGTGGCCTCAATAATTAAATGTTATATCTTAAATGCAAGAGTAACTAGCATGTGTTTTCATTATTTTAAGAGTGCAGGCATGTTTGCATATGATAGCTGAGAGCATAAGTAACCTACGATATTCAACGTGTGTGGAGCACAAAAGGAAATAACAGATGTTTCCACAGCTGTTTATGCAGCAACGTGTCTTCCTGCATGCCGGCTTTGCAAGGCACGCTTCTGTGCAGCTGAAAGTTTAAGCTCTTGCCTGAAATGGCGATAAAAAAGTTGCAAAACAACAGACATATACGAAAAACATTGCAAAATAAAAGGTGATGCACGCTCGCTACAGAAAAGACAGAACCACTTGTAGCGTCTTGCATGTGTGCCAGTGTCTTTATTATTAACGTGGCATCAAATTAATAAAGCTAACAAAACCTTATGTAGTGACAGGCTTCCATTGAGCTGCCTTCCATACCTACAAATATGGCACGAAAACTGCTTCCCTGAAGCATTTTGAATTCCCCTGTCACACCTCTATTACCAGTTAATGAATTGGCAGTTATTCCACATGATGCTTGAAAACTTAGTTATAGTTACTACTGATTTTATTGTGAAAATAACTAAGTACCTATCGTATATACTCCTTAAAGAGAAAGCTGTAAAAACATCTTACGTTCTACATGTGGCACTTCACTTTACAGCAGATGCTTACTTAGTTGTAAATGCAATTTATTAATAAATAGTTCTACAAAAACAAGAGAGCTCAATTCTTGCTCCTTGGCATAGAATTATACATAATGCTACCTATATAAACTATTATTATCTCACGAGTTTGCAAGTACTGCTCGATAGATCACAATAACAAATGAAGCCTATTGCAGCCATTGGTGTCTACCATAAATCGGGATTACGTCACGTTTGTGCTTGCATTGAATTTTGGTGTAAATGGAGTACACATGAGCCTACATGGTGATTTGCTTCACATGTCACCATTGTTTCACGAGCGGTGCTTGCATTGGCAAACGCCAGGGTCTATCACTCTAAGGAAACGAAGAGAAGAAAAAGTACTGCGAGAAGTAAGAACACTTTCTCTCTCGATACGTCTGCCTCAGAACACAAACCAAATATTAAACAAGGAAATGAACAAAGAGATACCGCGATCGCCATGAAGACGCCAGCAGTCGTACCAGGGGTTAGAGATTGTGGCTCAAGTTAACAAAACTCGGAGACCAGGCAGGCGGTCACATGTAGGGCGACTCTAGCAGCTAAAGAGTGCGATGAGTAAGATTACACGCATCTTGCGGTTGCCTCCGTCCCGAAGGCGGGACGATGAATACCACGCTTCGGCGATGAAAGTCCCGATAAGAGTATTGAGCACCCCCCCCCCCCCCCGCCTCCCTCTCGCGACCCATTGAGACAAAATGAGAAAGCGGCCAACGACATGTGCAAATGATCACAGCATCGCGTAATGCACGACGCGAAGTTTTTTTTTCCTCTTTGATCGCGATGTTATGCGTCGAAAGGGGATTGCCACGACGAGCAACGCACATATTCACATCAAGTCGCACCACATCACTCACCTCTCTAACTTTTTCTCTTCTCTCGCGGTTCTCTGCTTCCCTCTTCGGGTCGGGAACGTGCGAAACAGGGACCGCTTTAACGTCGACCGCGGGTACACTTTGGCTCTCCAGGGGCCGAGCTACTACCGTTGAGGTTCGCTTAGACGGCGAAACAGGCCGCGCCGGTTCGGGCCTGGCGACCTGCATCGGCAGTCCCTGTCCGAGGTCCTGGATGATCTTCTCCTGGAGCTTGTTTCGGTCCTCGGCCCTGTGCGGGTCTTCTTCGTCGGCGGCGATGCCGTTGTGACGGGGAACGTTGTCCTCGATCGCTTGCGGAGGGGGTAGCAATAGGTCCGGGCCGGCGTTCTTGATGTGGCGATAGGCGTTCGACGCGCGGAGTTCAGGCAAGTAAAACACGGCCCCGATGCACACCATCAGGAAGGTGGCCAGCACCAACACGACAATGTATTTCTCCCGCACCCGCAGAGTCCTACGAGCTGATCCGCCGGGCGCCACGCTGATGTACTTGAAGTATGTGGGCAGAACGCCGACAGTTGCCATGATGTGGCCTTCCTGCGACGGCTGGGAGCCGCCGGGACGCACACAGCCGCTCGCCTTGATACCGATGATGAGGAACTCCTACTCAATCGCTCCCCGTCGTTTCATGACGTAGCCCAGCCCGAAAGCCGCCGCACGGCAGCTGCGGCATCCAGCCAAAGCGGAAGCAAGCAGCGGCTGCTCCGGCTAATGGACTAGGCGGAGGACTCCTAAACTGGGCTCGGGGCGAGCAGCTGATCTCGACGCTGCGCGATTACTGAACGTCCCCATTCCAAGCGACAGAAACGCTCGAGTCGCACATTAATTCCGGACTAACCGGACAACTCTTTGGCAAGGCATCGCTCCATAGAGTAAAAACAGCTAGTGCAGATGTTGGTACGCAGAGCGCGACGCGAAAGTTTAAGCAGGTGGCGCCCTCAAACGGGACTTTCACAAAACGGCGGCACACGATAAATGCGCGGCGACGTGTCCTCCGATCTGTTGGAGGCGAAAATGCTGTAGGCGCGTGTGCTCAGATTTGGGTGCACGTTAAAGAACCCACAGATAGTCGAAATTTCCGAAGCCCCCCACTACGGCGTTTCTCATAATCACATGGTGTTTTTGAAACGTTAAACCCCACATATCAATCGTAGCTTAGCAGCCAGCTCAACATAGCCGTTTAGAAATTAGAAAATTCTAACGTGCTTTGAACATTTGCAGTGGTATAGGCAGCCACACCCACCAGCAGCGTTGGCCTCGAACTTATTATACTTGTGTTCACCCGATGAGCTCACCTGGTCATTTGCCCCGCCGCGGTGGTCTAGTGGCTAAGGTACTCGGCTGCTGACCCGCAGGTCGCGGGTTCGAATCTCGGCTGCGGCGGCTGCATTTCCGATGGAGGCGGGAATGTTGTAGGCCCATGTGCTCAGATTTAGGTGCACGTTAAAGAACCCCAGGTGGTCGCAATTCCCGGAGCCCTCCACTACGGCGTCTCTCATAATCATGGTTTTGGGACGTTAAACCCTACACATCAATCAAATCACCTGGTCATTTCTATTTATTTACAGCAATGGTAGTGTTATTGTGAATGCATACGCGTAGGTCGTCTGCTCTAAGTGTAAGTAAAATTTTATTGGAACTACCAGCAGCCTTCACACGACCAAATACATCTACGGCACACGTAGGGCCCGCAAAGTTGTCTGTAGCATTCTTTTCAATTTAACGAATGTGCTGTTGTTGAAAGCACCAAGTTTTTGTCACAACATAATTAGAACTAACATACAAGAAAGGCAAGGAAAGCATAGGGGTTGTTATCTGTAGTAACTATCATGTGAATGTGAAGTAAAGTGTACAAAAGAAGGCTTTCCGTTGGCGGGGACCGAACTTATGACCTTTTAAAAAAGTCATTTCCTGCGTGCGCTATATGAGCTTTTCGTCAGATATCTTGCATTCTACACTTAGTTTTCATAGAGTCAGTGCCTTCTTCAAGTTAGTCGTAAAATATTTGTCACAACGGTATTTTAATCCAGCACAATTAGATCTTTGTTACCCTTCCACATGCTGTTCTTCAATATATGTAAAATACTCCCACTACATCTTATGTAATTAAGCGTTGTCCACAACTGGTCCTTTTTATTTAATTTTGTCATACAGGTGGCTCAGAGAAGTGGCAGGTGCTCAAATGATATCAAACGAGAAAAAGCTCACTCAACAACTGTTATGAAAATTCATTCACAGATTTACAGGGTTACAGACTTTTTATGGTACATAGTGTACACATGAATGATGAGTCTGTAACTTTATCATAAAAGCATTTCTTGAGGCGCCACCGTCGTTCAACACATACAATACCTTGATTCAAGTGGCTTGGGGCGTCTTAACAGCATACATATAAAAAGCGCCAACAACGAAAACAAAAGAAGCACATATGACGGGACTGGCATTTAAGTTGCGACTAGCGTTCATTTGAACCTAACAATTATTTTCTCGATTATCAGGAATATGTGCACAAATAATATAAAAGATTGATGTAATTTCTTCTAACATGACACCATGCAATCAGTCCATTAACATGTCAATATCTCTTGAAAGATATACCACTCCTTTTTCATGTAATGTCAGAGACAGCAAAGTGACACACTTATCACCTGCTTTCATTATTTAATATGCATGCAATATAGTTCAGGCATATTTCATAAGGAAAGCAGGTTATAAGTGTGTCAGCTGTCCGTCTTTGGCATGGAGAACATTGTGCATGTAGATTTCATCAGCATGCCCTTGGGGCAAAAACGAAAAATCATTGTGACATGCTTTTGTCGACACTCTGGTTCATCTGCAGTTGGAGCAATCACACATCTGTGCACTGAGAGAATGCTAAGACCAGGCTTCTATCTGTAGCCGCCTTGACTTTTCGAGGTCTTTCAGCAGTTCCTCCGCATCTCTGTCACTGTGAAAGTCCGATTTCAGCGCAGCTTTAATAGCATCACGCACACTGGGCACCATGTCCTTTGCATTGCCGGCGATGTACACGACTCCACCATCGCGCAGCAGTTTCATAACCTTGTCCTTATGCTCGGCAATACGATGCTGAACGTACCTAAAAAGAAGAATACAGACAAGAAATCGCACTTTAACAAACTGGCCATTTAATGTGAACTGAATTTCAATAAAAGTGTTCTAAAGATACAGTGCATTCAAACCCTTACAATCAGATACATGTTTTGTGCGTGAATACTCTATCAGTGAGTTTAATTTCTAGCTCTTAGAGAATCAGTTTAGAGCCTTCTTATGTATATCACTGCAAATGAAGTCTGCAATGCGACAAATAATAAAAATATTAAAAAACTTATGCACTTACATTTACAATAGCTTCACTAGCTACAATAGTATAACTAATTTAAATTAAAATATTATCCCTCCCTACCCTTGTTTTTTTTCTTTTTTTTTTTTTCAATTTTGAAGGCAACACGAGAACTTCCGTTAGTACAACGTGGTAAGCAGGCCTTTACTCAGGAATTTTTTTCTGTGGGTGTTTATGCGTAGAATGGCTAAGGGCATGTACACATTCTACACAAACAGCCGCACTGCACGTGGTGGGACAGCTACCACGTGCAAGTGGAGGGCGAATGAGTGTGACCAATTCGCTCTTAGGCCGACCGTTTAATTGCGGCAGGTGTCCTGCCATGTGCAAGGCGGCTGTGCGGGTAGCACATGCACAAGCCCCAGCTTTGGTAACTGGGTGTCCATGTGAAGCCGTGTAAATACTTAAAGAATCACCCAAAACGTTAACACCTGAAAAAATTTCTGGAGGTGTTAGAACCCCCTGAGTTACAGCCCTGGTGATAAGTGCCAGCTGAAATTAGTGCTCTGTCCCATCTACTTCTTTTGAAGTGCTGTCTGTTATTGCACTTAATTTCGCTTTGATGTGCATTGCTGACTTACACTTTGTGCTCCTGGTCACGAGAGAACGCTGTCACCAGGTCAAGCAGTCCTCCTTCCACGAGCTGGTTCCATTCCTTTCTAAAGAAGAAGTCCCCCTTCGCATTGCGTGAGCCAAAAAAGAGAAGATTCTCGCCAATTCCTCTATGGGCACGATCCTGGATCATTCCACGGAATGGGGCACAACCAGTGCCTGGTCCTACCATGATGGCAGGGGCATTGTCAGGAGGCATCCGAAGGCTGCCCTTCTTCGTGCCAATTATTACACTTGGCCGACTGCAGGGATGAAGGCTGGCTAGGAAAGTGGTGCAAAGGCCCCTGCACGATTACATTGCTGCTTCAACGCACAGTAAGACACGCATATAGTGGACCCACATATAACGAATCATTGTGTATATCGAACAGTTGCAAGATGCCATTAAATATATTCTTGATACCCTATATAAGATACTTCATATATAGAATTACCTGTACATAGAACTATTTTATGATCCCCTTGATATTCTACATATCAAGGTTTGACTGCATATTATTTCAGATCTGAAATGTAGTCAAGCTTGCAGGTGCCAAAGTCAAGGTCGTTGAGAGGAGAGTGAAAGAAAGGGCTTGATCATGTAATATGGGTGAAACAGCGCTTTGCTCAAAGAGGATAAAATGTAATGTGGTTAGTTTTTGGCTGATGTGAATGCTACGCTGCAGCATTGGTCAATTTATGTGACAGAGGGAAAATTACTGTAAGTGTTTTAAGAGATCTATGTTTATGCCGCATAGGATGAACGGAAACACAGTTATGGAAAACCGTACCCTCAAGTCAGTCGTGGGAGCAAAAATTTTGTACTTACTGTTTTTCATATTTGTACTTCAATCACAGCAGCCTGTCGCTAATATGAAAAGACTACTACACTTGTTGGTGTGTACCATCTCCTGAATGTAGGCGTCGCGCATGGCCAGCACTGGTAAAAAAATTCGCCACAGGAGTGCTCTTACACGTAGCACCAGTACACCAGGAAGTTGGAGCACCCTGGTAATGTGAGCAGTGACATCTACATCTAAAGGTATAACGCATATAGGACAGGACAAAGCAAGTGACACAGGTAAACACACTCTGCTTTGTATGTTTGTTTATGCGTTACTCAGTTTGTCCCATCTTGGACGTGCCATCCCTCTGGATGCTATGAATCATCAACAGGCCCACCCTGCAACTTTAGTGGCATATACACTTTTACAACAGCCCTTCTGCTGACATTGCTGCCACAAGTTCTCACCAAACTTAACAGGCAACTCCATTCTTAATTTGACGTACTTCAGAAGCAACAGAGTGCACGTTTCATTCAATCACACTAATATTGTGCATCAGATAACAAAGTTTGTTTGCTTATGCTCAATCCCTCCTACTGTTGCAGAAACAGCATCAAAATTTGAGTGAGCTTGTAAACTAGCATAACACAACAGCGAACAATAGAGGAAATGAGTAAGCACTTTTTCTCATCTTCTCTCTAGTTCTTTGTATGGCAGCAGATCGTACTGCTCTATTAAGACTTGTTTCATCACTAGTACATTTTTAGCATAGAAAACAGCCTTATAGTGATCATGCATTAGCTCCCTTCTGCATGTACTCCTAAATTACTTTTCGCAGATATATAGTAACCATACCTGCGAGGCCTCTTCAGCTTGGTGCGGAAGTTTACGATGGCCGCCAGAATGTGAATCTGCCCTGGGTGACAAAGCAGTGAATTGGCAATGGAAAACGAGCGTGGGCGAATGGGTGGAATCAAATCAAAGAGGTATGCCAGAGGCACATTTGCCGTGGTGTGAGGGAAGTCGGCGAACACCTCCAGTACAGTTCGCCGCGGCCGAATGACGTAGTCCACGAGGTCTTCTTGACCAGCAGTCGTGCTAAACTCCCGGAGACGCTCCTTCTCAAGTGTGTCTTCACCAAAGTGCCAAAAGAGTTCAAAGAAGGACCTGTGCAATGGAGCGAGATTCAGTAAACTTCGCAATGCAGTACCACATTTCTAGAGCTTCCGCAGAATCTTCACATGAGCAAAAATGACAGATACTGCCGCACGGTGAATACGACGACTAAATATCTGATGGTGCAAACCTTATCGTTTTATTTAGGCAGAGCAAATGACAAAATATTTTTGTGTTACATAGGTATTCTCAATGAAAAGAACAAAACGACTTAAGTTTCCTGGTTATTATGTACAGCTGCCAATGACTAACAGCTAAATAGAATGTCACTTCTTAGTGCTTTGCACTACATGCAATAAGATGGGATCTGTACATTCAAGTTCTCCCACATTTCCCACAGCAAAACCAAAATTACCTTGGCAAGGAATGGGATAATCTTTCTCTAGGTTTGCCTGGAGCAAAGCCTCAAGTGGTGGACAAATTGAGACAGTCGGCATCGACATTATCGCAACTGCTATCCTAGGGCACTATCATGTCTTAGGGTACTAGCATTTGAAAAGTTGATGCCAACAATTTATCTTGAAAATTACCTCTTTGGGATGCTTGTGAGGTCAAAATACTTCTGAACGCATTCACCGAGTGATACTTGTTTTGACAAACAATGCGGCAGTGATGTGCCCTCTTCAGTTGGTGCAAATGTCAAATATGAGGTGGGTTTGTAGTTGTTGAATAGTCTGAAAAACTCATCGGTATCCTCTTCACAATTCTCCGGGTAGACTACCACTACGTCACCGGGTTCGAATGTGATTTGAGAACCTGTTAACATGAAGGAAGGTAGGAATCAGGTTGACAGAGTATCAAAAGACCAGCACAGCACGCGATAGGTCAACTGCATGGAAAGTCTGTGAATGAATGGACACATATTCTGCGATATCGAGCTAAAACATCATACCACTATGTTTGCTTCATGTCAAAGTTTGGTGGTTGGTAGGCAATATATCATTTCCAGACACCAAATAGTGAGGTATAACTACTTTAAAGCCTTAGCTAAACCCTCGTATGCTACTTTAACATGGTCAATCACTTTTATTGCAAACTTTTGCAGCAACTTTTATTGCTGCTTTAGCATTTGGCATTATGTGTTCGAATGACCAAATGTTGATATTTGCTGTACGCTTTGTTGTTAAGTACGATTGAGTTCCTGGTAATTCCTGGTAAAATCCCCGGATATATGAACACCTGAGATACCTATGCATAGAAGTTCTCTAAGCTTACCTCAATGTTTACCTTTGGTGCTTAGAATATCAACAAACCATCTATGCCACTAAGGTTGACGAGCAATGAGAGAGGATTCACTTATTACAATGAGAAGACAACACGCTTTGCGTGAGAAACAGGAGAAAGTAGACACTCTCTCGAGGTCAAATATGCAGACCGTCACTGTCAGCGAAAATTGTCGAAGAGAAGCAACAAACCTTGAATGTCAAGTTTAATAAGACGCACATCCTGAAAGTGTTCGACATCGGTGACTCGCTGATTGGAGACCACAGTGGCATGAAACAGTTTCTCCCGAACAATGTCAGGCTGGCAGGTGGTGTACTGATCTGCACACGCCGTGTCACATACAACGCTGTACTTGGGCGCTGGCAAGAGCTCCTCGCTGAGAGGCAGGCAATCGGGAGGTAGGGGATACAAGGTCATAACGACCTTCCAGAATTCTTCCAGCCATGGATCTATCATTCCATCAGTTCCCAACTCGTGCTGCTCATCAGCATATAGGGGTTCGTGCAGGCAGTGAGAACCTAGCTGGACTAGGCGTCTATGCAGCCGTTTTGCGGCAAAGTTAAACTTCAAGTAAGACGAGTCTCCCAGGCCAACCACCGAATGACTAATTGCGTTGAGTGAGTTTGGAGGCAGGTTTTTTCGCAGAAGGAACGACCAAAAATGCTTCATATTATCGGGTTCCTCGCCTTGTCCCGTAGTAGCGCACACGAACAGAACTAATTTTTCCTTGATTAGCTCTGCTAGAGGATAATCGTCCATGGCCAGCACAGTCACACGAAACCTGTACCGCCTCGCTTTCCTGCCGATTCTTTCAGCCACGTCTTGAGCAGTGCCTGTCTGGCTGCCGAACAAAATCACGAAGCGCCGGTCTAACATGTCTGTACGACACCACTGATTATCTTTCAAGCGAAGTCTTTGATTTGTGTACGCAAGGCACAATGTGTACTTTTATCCCCTTGTTCAAAGCACAAATTTGTTTCCTCGCGACAGTTCCTCAGGCACGCAAGTTCAGGCTTCTGCGCTAAAGTCACCGCGTGTTTATCGCAGCAAACATGAATCTTCCATTTTCTGCCTTGTTTCGACGGTCTGGTCAAAAGTTAATACACTCATCACACGGCCAACTTGCTTGCTTGCGCTGTGAATAAAAACACCGCGTCGTGGCTACGTCACAGAAGACTTATACTACCAAAAGAGTTTTGAACTTTCTTGAAGCATTCTGTCATGAGGCGCCTCTGGCGGTGACATCTTCTACTGGGGGAAACGATTCAATATTTTGTTATGGTGGCACGAAACACCTGCAATCTCAGGCTGTACCAGCTGTACCGCTGTAGTACATACCTGCACTGCGATTTTCAGATCCTGCCTGTGTGTGCGACAGATGTGGAAGGTGTACAAGGACTTTCGCACCGTTCGCTGTGCTAGTCGTCATCAACCGCATTTGCCTCACAGCCAACGAGCTGTTTGTACGTATGCGTTTAAAGCTCGCAAAGAGCCAATCATCTCTCTAGATATGCGGTATTTTCTTTGCGTGTCGGCAGTGCAGTCGGCAGTACCAGCCACGTCAGGTTTTCATGTTTACATGGCAACTGTGTGCAGACGCGATCGCTGTCGCGTCTAGTTCCTTGTGCTAATTGACAATGCTTTTCCAGTAGATCACGCTTGGTCAAGTTTCAGGATCGTCAAATTCGAGGGTGTGAACGTCGATACACTCAGCTGCTTGTTATGGAGGGGCAGTACAATCTCCGCAGCCCAGGTGAGCTATCCTCTAAGCGTTTTTAAGCGGCATTATACACTACGACTCTTCGAGTGAATGCTCGCTGTGGCCCCGATTGTTTGCAGCTGTGAAGCGTCTTATGCGAGAGGCCCAGGAACTCCGTGAAGCGACGGAAGAATACTTTGCGCAACCATTGGATGTAAGGAAGTGCTTCCCTTTGCTGTATTCTAGGCATATCCTCATACTGAAATTTGTCTATGATCATCGCAGGATAATCTGTTTGAGTGGCACTTTACTGTGCGCGGGCCGCCGGACTCCGAGTTTGAAGGAGGTATCTACCATGGCCGCGTAATCCTTCCCCCAGACTATCCCATGAAGCCACCGAGCATCATTCTTTTGACGGTAACACCGTTATCATTGTCTGCCCACTGCCTTGACTGCGCCTAGTTAAGCAGCCTGAGAATACCTGATCGCCATGTGGCAACAACTAAATGAAATCTTAATGCGCGCCTTGCCAAAATGAAGGATGAACGTGTGCTCTCGTTGCGGAAGAAATATGACTAGAACAAGTTTATTAATTGGCTTAGTTTCTGTCACTGATTATCTGTCGCATTTTACACTTATGTAAAAACTAGGGATTTTATGTGTTCACTAACCGTATGATAAATAACCTGGTGTAGGTATGGTCTGGCTGCACATTTATGGTTTGCCCGGTCTTTAACATTGATTTGAATACGCCATTTCTGCTGTTGTAGAAGACTTACCCATAGAGAACTTGAATGCTGGCTTTGCTTTGTGTTGCCAATTTTGAGCTAATGGTTCCGTAGTATGGTGCTGCCCGTCCAAAGTCTCTTCTCTTTTCATGCTAGCCTAACGGACGCTTTGAGATCAACAAGAAGATTTGCCTAAGCATCTCAGGTCACCATCCCGAATCATGGCAGCCGTCATGGTCTTGTGAGTACACCCTTGTTTTTACGCTTTTTCTTCTCATGTTGTATGTAGTGTGTTTGGGGAAGTGCAAATTTGCCTGCTGTATTGCCAGTCATCAGCCATTTCGTTTAAACGCCTTACTGCTTAGTTGTTCATGTCAGTAGCACTGATCATTCTTTCTGCATGCAGAATAGCTTTACAGGTATTGAACGATGGGGCAGTGCATAGTATCTTAAGTTCCGTAAAAAGAAATTTTGACAACACTTTCTTGTGGTAGCGCGAGGAGTCGCTTCGATCTGGGAAACCATGCACTGCTTGTCGGAATTCACTGTATTAAATGTGTGCTGAGGGTCAACATAAAAAAAAAAAAATAATAGAGAACGCAATCATCATCATCATCAGCCTGACTACGCCCACTCCCAAAGGCCTCTCCCTTGACCGTCAATCCTGGTCTTGTGCTGTATGCTGCCACGTTGTACCTGCGAATTGCATCGGCCCGCCTAATTTTCTGTCTTCCCCACTTCCCCTCAACTGAACAAGTGTATTCATGACTGAATCCAGTCAATTACCCTTAATGAGCTTTAAAGTGCGCTAGAGTCTGCAACATTCCTCAGTGAAACACTGATCGCTCCCAAGTCTATCTTCCTAGTTATCGATGTCTACTTATTTTTCCTGTGACATTACAGTGCGAACGGCCCTGCTGGCCATCATCGGTTTCATGCCAACTCATGGAAGTGGTGCGATCGGTTCTCTGGACTATAGTTCCATAGAACGGAAGCTGCTCGCAAAAAAGTAAGACCTAGCTGAATTTACTCTCCTTGTTCTGTAAATGTTATACGTTGTCCACTGAAATTGTCACTTCAGCACGTCGTGTTGCAAACGAAGATAACTAAAGAGTGAAACACAAGCAACAGCTAGGGGCACTTATTCGACCAGTTCTGATAATGCCAGTGATTGACCAGATGTTTGGGTCTGATCCCCGGTCCCTCTTCAAAACCTTGAGATTCTATTCAAAACCTGAGGTTGGGCTAGGGTCCTTTCATCACATGGCCTCTCTGTTTAACAGATGCAACAGCTGTTACTGTTGTCAGTGTGGCGTTTGTGCTTGGAAGTAGCTCGATAAGCTGAGTAATACGCAAGCAGGCCCCAGAATAAGCAGTGTCAGGCATAACTTGTTACAGATGTGACAGCACTAGTGAGAGAGCAAACGGGGATGGCAAACATTATGTTCGTGTGAAGAGGATGAGATTTTCAGGCCATGTAATGCACAGAGCAGATAACTGTTGGACCACCGTAGTTTTACAATTGGTCGAGAGAAAACAAATACAGCCGGGAACACGAAAGAACTTAGTCATAGAGTGAAATTGGAAAGTTGTGAGCATATTATTTCACCCTCTTGTGGATATCAAACAGATTAATAATGGTGGTGATGACAGTGCCGGTCGTGACATGGTGTGGATAAGAGTTTGATGACCAGATTTTTTTTCTTTCCAAGTATGACAGTTTTGACACCATAGAAAAATTGTCGGCATGAGCTCGCATTAAATCATTACCCTGCAGGGCATAGCGAGCTGGCTTAGGGAGTAATGTACGAGTGAAAATAGTAGCTTAGTCTGCACGAGCTAGGTTCAGCCAGGAACTCAACCAGTGGCTTGTGTGACATCCTCATACTTCTTCCAGATCACAAACATGGAGCTGCCCCAACTGTGGCCCAATAGCCAAGCTGCTCAAGGAACACTCACAAGAACCACATGACACTGCCGCCGACAAGGAGGCAAGGGAGCAGGCGGCGCAGATCATGTTCAAGGTCAGGTGCACAGTGTATTTGACCTCTTACTGCTGCAGAATGAAATATCCTTAAAATTTTATCAGTTGTGACAATCTTTGCAATTACTGACAAGACTTCTTCCTTTTATCGTAAACCTGCTCTCTCTCAGTGCCATAGTTTACTTATAAACTGTTACCTATTGTAAAACTACGCCGAAAGAGCATTCTCTCTGTCTCCCTTTGCCATAAATCTTTCTCAAAATGCAACAGGTGCTGTAGATGCTCTTTTCCAATTGTGACGGTGGATTGCCATAGAATCTGTAGGGGCTACTGACCTCACACACGGCAACAAGCAAAGTTTGAATGTGCAAATGCCTCCAACGCCCTAGGTGTACAGCTGCCTTGAGTCTAACGCAATTGTACTTCAATAGAAAGCTGTCACTATAAGCCACATCAGATACCGGTGTGCAGAGCTATTTTTGAAACTGCAAAAACAAAGAAAAACAGCATCAGAAGTAAATTAAACCGACAGTCAAATACACTCTGAATGGTTTTGAAGTGTTGCATGGCCATGTCTATATTTAACATAATGTTACGTGCACATCCTAGTACTTGCACTTTCAGTGTTAAAAAGCATGTATAAATCATCAGGAACCAATGGGCAGATGGTTCTTACCTGCAAAGCTCATTTGAGAGCACCAATGATAATCGGCCTTTTCCATGGTGCTATGGCGCATGCACCCTTCCCCGAGCGGAAGTCTCAGAAACGCTTCCTGGTCTCGAAGCCCTTCATATTAGCAAAACCAATTCTCTCGGCCTATACTAAAACCCTAGCAAAATGCCAGAGGACAGCGCAGAAAAATGGAAAATTGTGTTGTAGCCGGATTGTATACAGTAGTACCCAATGAATTGATTGATTGATTTGTGGGGTTTAACGTCCCAAAACCACCATTTGATTATGAGAGACGCCGTAGTGGAGGGCTATGGAAATTTTGACCACCTGGGGTTCTTTAACGTGCACCCAAATCTGAGTACACGGGCCTACAACATTTCCGCCTTCATTGGAAATGCTAGTACCCAATGAAGTCAGGCTACTTGAGCCTAGTGGCGTGCTGCATTATCTATTGTGGCTAACAGCACGAAGACCTAGACATGGAATGAAAGTGGACACGTGTCCACTTCCGCTATGTTAGCCACAATGAATCTGCACCGACTCGCCCAATTTTCTATCTTACTTAATGCTGCATTATATGTAACCTTTCACGTATTATGCCTATAATATACCGATGGGAATTGATTTTGTCGTACTTTTTGCACCAATCTTGTACTTGTTTGGTACGGTTGGCATTCTAAAATTATTTCGTCATTGTTAAAAAGTATTTGTATTGACAAATGGCTGCTATTTGGTCAAGAAACCAAATCAAACAGAACGTTATTCAATCCAGTTACCGAAATTTTGAAACATTCGCAAGCCCCTAACAACAGGCAGCGTCGCAAAAGTAGGTGTATGACTTGTCAAAGATGCCTTCTTACTATGCTGAAGTCTTTATGTTGCCCCTTTCAGCTCGCAAACCACAAATGATCGTGTCTTCTGTGTATTACTTACTTAGCGAGGATCAAAAAGCTCACAGAGAAAATTAAGCACAAGGTCATTTTTGTCAACATTCTGGTTTCCATTTTTTGTGATAAGTACACTGTATTCTAGCTGGAGCGTGAAATAATGTCAAAACTACCATTTATGAAAGAGTGTCCCCACAGCAGCAGATGGGCATGCATTGTTTTGTAGTAAGTACTTTTCTATTTCATTTATGCGAGGAAATTAAGATAAACTGAGAGAGGTTGGGTTGTAGTGGCCAAAGGCATGTCTGCCTTAACTCGAGAAAAGTACCTCCAGCAAATCTTGTGCCACATGCATGCTAATATTTTCATCCCTGTTTTTTAGGATGCCAGTGAGAAGCCCAGCACAGCCAGGACTAGCGAAAGCAATTCCATTGAGCAGACAACAACATCGGTGACTCTACCACAGCCAAATGACTCCAACAGCAAAGGGCAGACATCAGCTAATGCAGACAAGAAAGCGACAAACGCTAGCAGCAGTGTCACTAGTGACACATCCACTACAGTTCGGGCCACCCAGTCGGATTCGGTGATCGGAGGCACTACCGAGGACACACCAGACATGGTGAAGCGGCGACTTGCAGCGGCACGAATCCTGGCGCAGCGTGCCGAGCGCCTCGCCCAGCAACAACAGCCACTCGCTGCACTGGCCGAGGAGACAGGCACGGGAAATCGTACGGCAAGAGTGAGCTCGGGAGACAATCTGCGCATGGCATACAATGCGGCGATCTGGCTCATTGGCAGTGCCTTCGTGGGCCTGCTCATACGGCGAGTCTTTTTCTTGTGATCGGCTAGAGCGCGGTTAAATGGCACAAACCTGACGAACTGCTTGTGCTCTCGTATGTGCCTCGTGCATCGGGATCATCGAAGTGTGCGTTAGGTGCTAGGTCAATGTCTGAACCACCTGCTTTGAGTGGGTGCCGATGGAACGATCCGCCTGCCTTGCGTAGCGAAATTGACTTAAGTACTGCTGCAAGTATGACAGCTGTCGATCTTATGAAAAAAGTGTTGGTGATATATCCAGTGCTGCATCTCTCAGGTGGTGTGAGACTTACAAAAAGCCCGGTGAGTCGCATGTAGGGCCTATCCTTCTTGGGGGTAAAAATTCCATGTCGCTGTCTTACGGTTGGCTGGTTTGCAACGTGGTGCAGTTGTGAAAATAAAAAAGAAGCGGCTTCTCTTAGAGAGTGAGCTTCCCAAGTGGGATTTTAGTTCAATAGGGAATGTTTCGATTGATTTATGTGTGTCGTGTAACGTTCCGAAACCACCATATGAGTACGAGAAACAGAGAGGAAATGTAACGAATGCGAGAGTGCTGCTGCGTGGTATCCAAGTTTTGTTGCACCTTACATGTCTTTCTAAGCTGCGTGGAACTTATCTAGAATCAACTATAGTGTGCGTATATATTGTAGAAAACTAGTGATTAGCTGCCTGACAAACACGCACAACTTTCCAGGAAGCTATGCTCAAAATAATGCAAGCCAGCTCAAGTGAATCTATTGCAATATATGCAACCAGCTGCTTTTCTGTGCCATAGATCTGCCAGTCATCAAAACATGCAACAAATTGATGTGTAAAAGACTATATGGCTAGGGTATTCAGCTGTACTGTTGCCAGCTAGGGTTTTAAGTAACCTGGAAAATGCAAACATTCGTAAACCTGCTAAACATAGCCGCAACCAATGATGATAGGAAGCATCTGTGCCACTTGGCTCATTGGCAGTATTTTGTCGCCCACACAGTGGGTTTGGAAGCTACGATGAAGTCAGTTCTATGCAGAGTTAACGCTGTAAAACACAGATGAGCCGCCCCCTCTCAAAACAACACTATCAATGCCGCTCCTTCATGTGTAGGTCACTTGTAAAGTATACGTATGAAGAAAAAGGGCTTGAAAAAAATACATTCCTACACTTGTGCAATGCCCAGATTGATGCACATAAATTATGCATGGTGCCTCCTTCCTCTATCACTGTGAATAAATGGATTTTTACACATCTTCGTGACCACGTGACATCTTTTCAAGCTATGCTTACAGCCTCGATTGCAGTTGGACACTGTATGCCTTTCAGGTGCACATGCAAAGTGCAGTGAAATTGCGGTTGACCAAAACAGTTCACAAGAGACGGGATCTGTGAAAACACGAGTTTCCTCAAAGCCTGGGCAGGGGTCCTCGAATTTAAAGCTGCATAAGAACAAAGAGACCAACAACGAATTTTTTTTCTTGGTCTAATTCTTTTTACAGCACAACAGAAAGTTCACCATTCGTAGTGTTTGTAGTTGCAGTAGTTCCCAAAAGCATGTATTTATCTTACAAGCAGTATTTTTTTTTTCTTGTTACCTGAAAGGCTGCAAGACAGATGTACCTTTCCTACACCAACTTTGAGAATTGATAGCGATGTCACCCAGCCCTTTTCAAGATTTTTTAAAGGTGTCATCGTTCTGATTTTGCAGGAGTTCCTGTAACTATCCACTTTCATTTCTAGATGTTCAACTATTTTTGAAAATAAACTGTTACAATGACATGATGTGGCATTTTACGCCTCTGTATTTGAACCATGTTGCAAGCACCCACACCCAAAGTTGCCTGTGTCATGGGTCGCTTGTCCTGGTCTCGTTACTCTTTCAATACACGAGCCCAGCCAAGCCATCGAAAATACCAGTTCACATGCGCATGGCCGTGCCAAGTAGCAGTGCACGTCATTTCTGCAATGAAGCATAGGTAGCAAGGCACAGTTGCACGAGCACGCTTAAATGTTGCTCCAGGCACGCTGACGAGCATGCAATCATTACGTCATGCGAAGGCAGGACCACTCCAATGCTTACTACTATGCAGGCCTATATGTACATTTTTATGGGGTAATATCTTTCAATATAAAGAAACGAACAATAATTTAATACCAACAAAAAATTGTCAGTGTAAAACAATCATTGATAATGCGACATAGTACATTGTATCTACCCGAGATGCCACAGGTCATTTTTTCAGACTTTGAACGAAGAAATAAAAATGTAAATCTACCTCTCATCAAAAAAATATGGTTGGTTTGAGCCAATGCGACATACAATCTTTCAATTAGTGAAGTTGTGTCGTGTTCTGGGCGGTTTTCAGTCCTTTCAAGAGGCAATGTGCCAGAACTCCCATGCCATATACCGAGCATTAAATGCACTGAACTTGCATTTAAAGACAATTAATATGAAAATTAAACAGCTCAATGGCTTTACATCGATTATTGCAATAGGTATGTAGTACATTAATCATTTATGCAACGACTGTCAAAGAAGGTTCAATCGTTTACCTGCATGGAGAAGGTATGCACATTTACCATGCAAGCCACGTCCTAAATGTGCACATAAAGCGATAACATTTAATTTATGTTAACATTATTTTATCAAAGCCCACTCAATTGTTCAGTAAGCTCTTATTCTTCCTGCACATGAAAATAATTTATTTTGTGGAAGGAGTTGGAAGTACAAAAAAAAAAGGAAAAAAAATCATGCCAACCCCATCTACTGTTTGCCGTATTAGAGAATTGGTTCGGGCGAAGTTTTGCACTACAGAGAAGAGCAGTAAGATAGTGATGTACTGCACACTCACATTTATTTATTTAAATGTGTCACACAAGAGATTATATATTGAATTATAAACTCTCATGGTATAACTGCGTGGATTGCATTCATTGAGAACTCCGTATGGCTTTGTGCGTATAACTCTGTGAAGATTGTGTTAACTGGAAAAAGCAGCATAGCAGATAATATATTGTGCTGAAGGTTGGATTGCACAGAAGCGAAGGTGCTCCCAAGGTAGTGGTCAGTCATTAAAGCAATCCTTCTACCGTTGTTCCATCTTGGTCTCTCCATCTTTCACACACATATTATTATAACTATTAATGATAATAATATCTGGATTTAAACGGACATTAGTGTCAAATAATTTATGTCACAGTGAAAGCTCATTGCATGACATCTATAACGACACTATTAACTGCAGTGCCCTACTTACCGAGAAATTAAGGTAAATGCACAAGAAAACGTGCGCTATGAGTAGGACATTCGCAAAGTGACCGCAATGACGTGAAAGGTACCGCCTACAATTAAACTATCTGCACTAAATAACCTTCCGTGCATCAAGAGACGTAATAAAATGCTACTTGTTCGTTTCGGTTTTATTAATAAAAAAAGACGACAGTCACAGCAAAAGCTTCTTCATTCTTGCTAATTTGTTTTATATTGATACATAACAGCCACTAAACACGGCTGCATGAAAGAGGAGGACAAAGCGAGTTTTCGTTTGATGCTGGACTAGTGCGATCTTGCTCGCCAAGTTCTGCGCGTTACTCGTAGCGTTAAGAAGTTACTCGTAACATTATTGGTGGAGCTGGACGACCCCCATACCTCGATGAAGACGCGCAGCGGTCGCACCATCGGCGGCCTTTTGACTGCTGGTACTTCCTCTACCCGCACCTCCACCAATATCGTTATGAGTAACTTCTTTAACAATCTATTTACAACGCACAGAACAAGCAAGATGGCACCAGTCTAGCATCAAACAAAAACTCACTTTGTCCTCCTCTTTCATGCAGCAGTGTTTAGAGGTTGTTAAGTATCAATATATTCTGGTTTATTGAATTATTCTGCACTTCATGTTTTTTTCAAAGGAACATTATTATTGTTCTTATCTAATTTCTCTCTTTTTTTAGCATCCGTTCTAGAAAAAATTCTTATAAGGTACAGTGTGGTCTATCCCCCTTGTGGGTATGAGCCAAGATCTTCTAGGAGATAAGACAAGACAAGCTAGAAGAGCGGCCTTTCAGAGACTTTTAAAACACTCACTGAGTAACTACTGCAAGCACACTTGCTTGGTACCCACTAGGGCATTAATAATAAATTTTTGGGTAGTAGGCCGGCATTTCCAATGCTATTTTTCACTATTCTTCTGAGAAGCATGGTATCCGCTAAACACTTGCAAAAAATTTTGTGCCAATTGTCCATGCAGTGGCTGACGACGATGAGGAATTATGGCTGAAGTGGTTATGCGCCACAGTTAATAGGGAAACAAAAACAAGCTTTTTTTTGTGATAGTATGGAGCATTGAATGGCCCACTCATTATGCTATTCGCATTGCGCAATGACCGGTTGTTCCTTTGCTGTTGTAAAACGCTTTATAAGTGGTATTAACGCGATTGCTTTCCTGACATTAAGCCTGCCTAAGGCAAGTCTGGCAACAAGTCACAAGCACCGGTGTAGCTCGGTGGTAGAATACTGGGCTGGCACCCAGCGGACCCGGGTTCGAGCCCCACTGTGCCATTGGTGCTAGGATATGCCTGCCTAAGGTAAGTTTCACAACAAGTTGCAAGCACCGGCGTAACTCAGTGGTAGAATATTGGGCTGGCACCCAGCGGACCCGGGTTCAAGCCCCACCGTGTCATTGGTGCAAGGTTTTTTTTCTAATTTCACGATGTGGCTAATCGTCTGCTGACCACAAGTAATTTAGTTTCACCTTTATTGTAGCATTGCATTTTTCCTGTAAAGAAAAAACACAGGCACAGCTTTAGTAGGAACAGTTCAGGGCTAATTTAATTCATTTTAAATCATATTTATGCTCTTGCTCACCGTCCAGTGGGGCGACCAGAATATGCTTTACACATGTGCACTGCTAGCCATTATAGTGCAGTGTGGGACAATTTGGGAATGTAGTCATTGTTTCATGCATATTATGGACAGCCACTGCACCAATGTGGTACAAAGACTTGTTAGGGCATGAAAGCACCCTTGCCCGAGTGTAACGGGACAGATATACACATGTAATAGCTGCTTGGGAAAGTTAGTGCATATTACTCAAGGTCAACTTAATCACAGTTAGTGGGAATCGATTCTGACTGTGGTCACACAGTCACTTAGGAACCCTTTCCTAAAACAAGGCCATTCACAGAAGCACAATAATGCAATTTAGATATGCCTATTATATGGTACTGAAACGCAAGTACAATTTCTTCAGTCAACTCTTTCCCACATACACGGTCTAAGAGATAACTGCTTTTTGTGATCATTTGTAAAGGCAGCTTTCATAGAACTGCTGTTCACAATGAATACACCTGTGGGAGAGTCACAATAGGGAGTTTTAGAATCGGAGACCCATGGAGCACGAGATCCTACGAAATGCGCAGCTGCCAGGGCGGCGCATGCACAAAATCCAAGCTACTCTTGTGCTGTTTTGCTCGCGCTGTCCCAAGACATTGGGAAATTGAAAGGAGTCTTGCATAATTTAAATTTTGCAACGTATGGTGTCCCATGTGTTTGACGAAGTGCCACCTATGCTTGACCCGACTCTGAAACTCTGCTCATCCCCCAAACATAAGGGTAGCCTACCCAATGCAGCTTGGAGACCCAGTGTGAGGGCCCAGTGTCTTGGGTCCAAAGTTCTAAAACAGGCTAATGAAAAATGTAGCACCCCAATCCTTTTCCTTTACAGCTGTGCTGTCATGCCTGTCGTTCATCTGTTTCATGATGTAGACGAAACATGAAACCGTTGTCATGCTGGCACACGCTCCTCGACGTCTTCTGCTTCACTCCCTAAGCATGTGCGCTTGGCGCACACTCTTCTACTGCACTCATTCGTTCGGTGTGGGATGCAATAGCTTGGATGGGTGAGAATAGGTACAGTGAGAGAGAGAAAGGGATATACAAATAGAAAGGGAAGAGAAAAAAGAAAAAGACGTAGAAACAGGCAGGAACAAAAAGTGGGAAAGAGAGGGAAAGAAAAGGAATACATAGAAAAAAAAAGATGTAAACAGTGAGAAAGAGAATGATATAGAGGGCAAAAGAAATGTGGTGAAACAGACACAAAAGGGATTTTAATTCCACTATTTGGTCTTATAATTGCCAGGCAATACCTAATCAAACCAAATCGATACTTAGCCAATGCTCATGATGTACGTGATCATGGAAACACTTGTCACATCAACATGTGAATGCACCGAATCAAGTCGGGACCAGCCGACTGCCCACGAGTTTTGCTATAACCCACGTTGGCACAATATTTCTTCTTATTTGAAATACAGGATATCTAGCTTTCCCAAATGAAGCAAATTTTTCAATGTTTAAGGGCCAGTCAACAGGCTCCAACTTATTTTTTTACACCCCCCAACAAGCTTGGCAAATCGTACAGTAGGCCGCAGCGATCACGTTTTTTGAATATTACAGCGCTGCACGCTGGGCAAAGCCTCCATTTCAAACAACGATTCCCGCGCATCCTTTCTGCGCTTGACCAACCTCCTTCCATGCGCACCGATGTCAACTCGGCGACCGGCGACGTGACACAGCACGTAGCTCGTCGATTGGTCTAGACCACGTCTCAACAAACAGTAGTGAAGTCAACGATAGTTCTTGTTCCTACGGCATCCTCACACGGACAAGACAGAGTTATTCAATCATACGATTTGCGAAACTACCCTTATGATCCATATATGGAAACCCAGATACTTCGCTGGCCCAGTTTTTGGGAGTGAGCAGATTGTCGTGCCACCTGAAGATCAGCACACCAACCATTAACCACATTATTTGTGTTCTTTGTTATTGCTCTCAGATGGTGCGACAGTCTGCTAACTCCCGAAAAATCAGGTCAACTGCATGTCCAGTCACTGCAAGTCATTATCAGCTGTAAATCGAGCGAGTAGGCATCAGCGAACCGTCGGCTCCGATAGCCAGGCATCTCAGCAAGCGAAGTACATTGCGACTGATCGAGTTCGCCGATGACGTCAATTGCTGACATGTCACATAGCCGAAGAGAGCGGAGTCACGACGACAGGCTATGCCTTCCACTCCCTCCGAGGAACAAGAGTGGCGAGACCGCACGAAAATTTGAAAGCAGCTGAAAGCGATGTTTTAACCTTGGTAACTTCAATATAGAATGTATTCAACAAACTCTTGAGGCAGCATGTTCATGAAGTAAAAGTGCACATTTTTCTCTTGAAATCAATTTACTAACATTGGGGTTGTTTACTAGCCTTTTAGTTTGCAGGGCCCTGGCCAGATGCAATTGCAAGCACCTCACTGGCTGCCTTGGCCTTCAGTACTATGATGCTCATCAATCATGCTGCGGCATGAGCACAGACAACTCAGTGGAGAAATGCAAGGCTCGAAGTCTGCTGTAATGCAAGAAGACTGAACTATTGTCTTCTATACAGGTCTCAAAAATGGGAATAAAGATGCTGACAATATAACATTTTGCTGCCTTCAGAACTGTCTGTGAAGGCAGAATCTACAAGTCACTGAATTTCTAGTGATTGAATAGTAAAAGTAAAAAAAAAAGACCCTTTGCAATTAATTGCCAAGCAGTGCTTCCCACATTAAATGCTTTAGCGAGTTTCAAAAGGACTACTGGGCCACTCTTTGATGAATACACCTTAGTGGTATGTTAATTGAACATTAGAGAAATTCATATCAATTCAATATCATTTGCTATGGCCTGGCAATGGGCTCTGTCAGCAAATGCTTGATTTAAACAAAACAAAAAAGCACCATGTGCTTCAGCAGAATGTTAGGATCACTTGCCGAGAACACCCGGTAATAAAAATCAATTTAGTGCAGAAGATGTATCTACATAGAACCAGTCTAGTAGTGTGCGCTCCAGTTCAGTATTATTAACACTCTATACTCTCATGCTGTATTAAACTGACAATGCCACAGTTAGTCACTGATGGACAATACAGACACACACACACAAAGTGGGTTGAGTAGCAAAATCTTTATCACACCTGATTATCCAAAAAAAGCAATGAAAAGCCAGGCTGCCTTCGAAATGGCATCTGGCCCCCTTCTTTCTTTTTCAATTCAGAAACTTTTTTTTTTCCTTCGGGGCGGGAGATAAGGCTGTACAAGGGGGGTGAGATAGTTGATGTGTAAAAAAGCAGCAGAGAGTCCAAAAAGGCAGTTTCGGCACACACACACACCTTCAGGCTGCCACTGCCATGGCTGGTTCAGGGAGAAACCCTGAGTATTTCAGACGCCCAACAGGTCCTCCGGCAAGTCATTTTTGGGATGCTTGTTTTCGAAGTGCTGCTTGTACGTTTTCGGATCTGGCATCTGAGCCTAATGAGCAAGACCAAAAAATGTACTTCATTAGGCACAGACAAAACTTTCACTTTGCTTGATTCACAAACTGGTAAGATTTACAACAATTCAGCAAGTATGATCGAAGTTAGACAAGATTACAGAGAACGGTTCTAAAAGGCAAGGTTTGGTTGTGTTCGGTTTAATCGCAGTAGCGCAATTACAGGTTTCAGTGAAATGCTGGCAATCTTCACCTGCATGCCACGGTTCCTCGATTTTACAGCCCCGTTGCTTTCGTCTGTCAGGCACAGCATACCACGACTTTCTAACGGCAAATACCCGCTGTCGCAACGATAAAGCGATTTCTCAGCACTCTAACCTGTCCCTAAACGCCACATCAGTGAATGGGTGCGTTACAAGGTCGAGGAAGCACCTCGCGCGCATCCTAGAGGATCTTCGCGGAAGCGGTCACTTACTGCCGCGTAACCGGCCAACAGCGTCGCTCAGTGGCTCATCTGGTCGTGACCCGCTAACCCACATGACTCGAAGCGAGAGGCCAACGACCTTTTCCTTTGTCACATACCTTGCACACAGTGCATGTGTGGGTTAGAGCCTTGGCAGCAGCCCCCTTCTGGTCACGATTCTGCTGCTTCTTCAGCTGCTCCTGCTTCTTCTGCGCCTTCTGCTGAGACTGAATTTTCTGCTGTCCGCGTGCCATACTCGCAATACCTACGTCACCCAAGACAAAGGAAGAGAGACGACAAACATCACGTAAGAGACAGCGTGGCAGAGGGAGCGGGCAAGTTACACAGGCACGTTGCACATCGGAAAGACCCGACGTATGGCGTTGCCGACTCCATTATAACGCTACGAACGCTCCACGGTACGCAGTGCGGGCGTTTACTTCTCGAAAGCAACATCATTGGTACTCCAAAGATCGCCAGCAAGGCATCGAGGAGGCCTAGCGCTTACCTTTACGTCACTGACGGCAAAGGAAAAAGGAGTTGACGAAACCTGCGCGGTACTTTTCTTCGACGCCGCTGCCGCCTCGGTGCGTGCTATTTTTTACCCACTTGCTACTCGTGTTGCTGACCGCTGCCGCAACGAGGACAACGAGCGCCCAGATCGCTTCTCGCGAGACCACGCGAGACTTGTCTCGAATCAAGGTTTCTTGCCAGTAGCCAAGCCACATTGAGCCGAAATAAACGGCGCGACTTCCGCAATCTTGAGAAGCAAAAGCACAGCGCGTGTTCTGTCGCACGAGAAATTTTTATCAGCTAACGCTTATAAAAAGTATCTGTCACTCATAAAATCAAAGCCTCGTGGCCAACCTTGATACGGCTAGCAGGCCAGTAAAGACAAACATCGCGCCAAAGCACAGGTCTCTTGCTTCGTGCGAGTGGGAGATCAATGGACAGCAGCGTAATCAGGGGGATAAAGTTGATTATCAAATGCGCAGAGGGTGATATGATCATCGCTTTCGTTCAGGGGATGCTTAGCAGGCCTACTTACAGCATTGGCAATCAAGCGCGAAGTTGCTTGGGCTTGCCTCACTCGTCTAAGGTTTTGCTGTGTCAACATGCGACATCAAATTCATTTGAAGCCTTTTGCTTTTCCTGTTGGAGAACTTGGAAGAAAATGTGCAACACATCTGCTTGAGTATTACTGTAATGGTTTGAAGAAAGATAAGCACCCACAACACCGACCGCAGTACCTCTCTTCCCGTAGAAAACCCGGCGGGTACATTGCTGCCATCTGCGCCAGAGGCAGACACTAACCATTTGAACACCGCTGCTGTTCCTGAGCCCCCTGTACTAAATCAACCTGTAGAGGTTTCAGGCATGGAACTTAAGAATCGGGTGTAGGCACGAAATTGAAGCCTATACGTTAGAAGATACATAGCATTCTTGGCTCTTGTAAAACTGTTGCATAACCTTTTGTTAGACTATTGATACAACTTTTGCACATACAAGTACTGTGGCACTATGTCATAGCATCCTTTCAGGCGTCTGGACCATTACAAGTCAATTGCAGTACAATGATGAAATGACATTTTAATAATAGCACACATTTATTACTCCTTTCAAAACACACCACAATAAAAAACAAACATCTTTGTTTTGTTAGGCTGGTCTTCCAACATGCAAAAGAATTGACAGGTTGGCGATTCACAAACGTCCAGCAAACTAAGCGCTGTCTGTTCCTGCGCTCTCAGTTTGATGAATGTATATAGTCTCGCAACACCAATTACACATGGCAGCACTAACTGTCACCAATGTCAATGTACAAACACTATTTTCCATGTCTAGGAACCACAATGGTCTTGTCAGCACAGGGATTGGCTCAGCACGGCCGTGTGGTCCACACCACAGCTGACCTTCAGAATCTTCGCTGTGAGGCTGACCTGCAATAGAACAGCACCTCCTTTAAAATACAATCACTGAGATGCATGCAATTTTGCATGCATATATACAAACACACACACAAACATGCACAGACATACCTAAAAAATGGTTTATACCATATCCTTGAACCCTCCCCCTCCCCCTCAGAAAAATATTTCTGGCTGCACATCTGGTAACAACATATGATGATTACTGCAATCTTTGTTGTAATTAACAGCAGTTACCCTGAACGGAAAATGTTGATCCATAGAGTGACCGAGGCCAAGGCAGCCATTCCTGTTTTTTCCCCAAGTGTACAGCTCTCCTCTGCCTGGAATAAAGAAACAAATAGTAGAACAAGTAGCATATATGAAATTCGGTTTGCAAGAAAGTGCTATGTTAGGAATTGATGTTAAAAACTCGGCATTTTGTGGCAGTTACATGATTATTGAGAATAGTCACATGTGTTGTGAAACGTGAGGCATTTTTATAAAATTAAATAAAATTTACTGTTTCACACCCCAGAATAGACCATTTTAAAGATCTGCAAGTGCACTTCCCTACATTGCGTACTTGTATGACTAGTGGCAGCATCTGTGGTGCTTCAAATAAAGACGAGCTTTTTGTCTATTATGTGAATATATATTGAGATAATGAATTCTATGTTTCCCATGTCCTAGCACAAGTAAACTATCTTTGAACATACTATTCACAGAAGTTACTATATAGTCGGTTACATCTTTAAAAGTTAGTGGCATATTTAATTGGCGTGTAGCAATGGGCGTGTACTCCAGACTGACGTCCAGATATGTGTGCACGTTAAAGAACCCTAGGTGGTCAAAATTTTCGGAGCCCTCCACTATGGCGTCTCTCAAAATCATATGGTATGGTGGTTTTGGGACGTTAAACCTCACATATCAATCAATCAATCCAGACTGACGTCATGAGCCGCACGGCCGTTGACCCCGCCTGCAGAGAATGTTGCTGAGAACAAGAGCGGGACTATTTCTTTAGTCGCTGAGGTGATCGGCTGCCACGCTTCGGTCGTCTGAATGTGGCATCTTCCCCTGACTCCTTAAGTTGTGCCCGACTACCAATAATTAGGCAAACTGCATAGCAGGAAAGCCGGCTTGACAATTATGAAAAGGGTCAAATGCGATTATATTATATAAGACGAGGCTAAGTGGCGAGTGAACATAGTGATGTATTTCGCACAATGTGGTTTGATTAATGGTAACTTGTGTGCAAGTGCACCTAACCACATTGAATATGGAAGAGCAACACATTGCCCTTTACTAGGCCAAGCAATATATTGGATTGTATCCAAGTCTGACAACAGAACGAACTGATAGAAGCTATATAAATCTTAAAAAGACTGAGCCAGGTTATTTATTCTGTAGTCAACAAAATGAATGCAATATCTTTGAAGATCTTGTGTGTGTTAAAACGGTATGCTGTGTAAACCTATGCGTCATGTGCCAGTGCACCAATGTTGTTTTTATTAGCCCATAATCTTCCAGCAAATCACTTGGTCTTGAAGATTCCAATTTTACAAGTTGTCACTGTACCCGAGCGTTTGGTTTTCAATAACAGAATCCCCCTTAGAACAATGCTCCTTATGTTGCTCCAAAGAGGGGCCTGGGAAGCAGGGTTGGGATGGTCTTGACAGACACTTCGGGTCCTAGGCCGAGCAAGCCATATCCCCACACGTAGACATCCCCGCTTTCTGCAAATTCAATCGTCACTACTATTTAACAATACTGTATATGGTATTTGTCCCATGTTCAGTGGGCATGACCATAAAAACATTATTTATTATTATTATTTGATTTGCATACACAGATACACAAGGACACAGGGGAAAGAGGGAGAGAGCAAGCTGACAACTGCCACCTGGAGGGGCACAACGCCTGCTCACTCTTTCGGGAGGAGGGAAGAAACAGAGGAAACAAAGATAAGAGGGGAGAAAAAGGAAGAAGAAAAGGAAGCAAAGAAATAATGATGACGGATTAGACGAGTATAAGTTAAAAAATAATAAAAAACCATCTATAAACAAAATGTAAGGAGAGCTCGGTGGGCCTGGTTGCGTCGGGAAGCACAATCTCTCAGAAAGAGGTAGTCATACAACTTTGAAAGTAAGCAGAATTTCCACCTTGGAGGTGGATTAATACAATCCTGCAAGAATGAGTTCAAGATCTAGAATGACATCCTGAGCTGGATGATCGGTGACACCGCTATCAGAGAACATGAGCAGGACAATTTCTTTAGTTGCAGAGGCGATTGGCTGTCACGCTTCCTTAATTTCTCTAAACTGATCATGTTGCACCTAACTATAACCTGTATTCTCAAACTAAGCCTGTTTTTTTGCACTACCAAAAAAATTATGGACCATCTCCCCGAAGATAACTATGATGGGATACGAAGCAGTAGCGGTGCACACGTCATTGACTTCGATGAAACAGGCGTCGACGCAGCTGCTGGAAGAACGGTTTGAACCGAAACTCGGTGTAGCCTTTACTCGAGTTAACATTTCTGTGGAATGCAAAAACACCGGAGGCCGGTTGGGTTTCGTGTAAGTTTCATCATAGATAAACGAGCCGAAAGGGTGTTTCCACTTGATGTGCGGTTGAGCGCTGCGGGCGGTAGGAAAGGGTGAAACAAGAGAGAAGTGGGTTGCGAGCAGGCGCAGGAGCAACACTACCTAGATGTGTTGGGAGGAGCCAGCAGCTGCTGCGGGTGAAGGAGAGAGTCACGTCAACGCGCAGCTGCGACTTGAGCTACTTGACATCGTTCCAATAACTGTGGTGGGGGAAAAATGGTGCAGCGCGTTGGGCCAGAGACACGAACAGACAGCGTTACAAGGGCTAGTCAAAGAGCTCATTCGCAACTAAAAACTAATACCAAAAAGAAAACCTACTGCTAAGCTGAAGCCTTTCCAATGTCTTATGGGTTGTGCCTGTCATTAGTTGCATGCGTGTACAGTACACGTGAATTGAAACTGGACAATTTAGAACCAAGTAATGCACATTACTTTTCCTTCTACCTCCTTCAGCTCAGGTCGCGGTGTTGTAATTCGACTCAAATGCATAGATCGCAGCCGACATGGTTTTTAGATACTTCAATAGTCGTGACATGACGCGGTTATCTCAGGCTATTGCTTATACCAGTCATTATACTAAAAATTTCAATGTAGTGCTGCACTGCTATTCTATAACATTAATTACTTGGCACGGACATAAAGATATACAAAAAGATTAAATGAGCGGAAACATTGCTGGTTGATGCACACAGCCTTTATCCAAGCACAAAATTGAAACATTAACAATTACAGATGGCAGCACTAAAACACATCCATTAAACAGTCATCTTCAACGTGTCTTATACAAGAAGGTCTGTTGATCATCAGCATTATCAGACAGCAAGCAAACCGACCTTACCCGTAACTACTCCACACATTGTACCTCCACTGGCAACAGCCTTAACTTTTCCATGTGGGAAGTTCAGATTCCTTGCAAAGCACATCTGCAAACACATATTTGAGAACTTGACTTGAACAACAACATGAATATGAACACTACCACATCCTTTGAGCCAGCTTTAAATATTCTTTGGATAACAAACAGGAAAACCAACATACTAACACACCTTCAATCTAAGAGACACTTTTGATTATTGATAATGGAGTTTTCTTTGAACTAGATGGGCAACAATTAATTGTCCTAACCTATGGTGCGTGTTACTATAC